ACAATTTTATTTAAAGAAGAAAAATAATAAAATAAAGGCGTATTCGAATGTAGAGAAACAGTTTTAATTATGCAACAGGAAAAGCGTTTATAGTTGTGAAAAAGAATACATAAAACAGTCACGTCACTAATGTTTATACATTAACTAATGACGTCATCTTCCGCGTTTGGAATAAAAAGAAATGAACTATTTCATTCACATTTGATTTAGATCTAAGTACGCTATAAAATTTATACAATACAATTTTGCTCAGGCTGAACTTACAAAAAAATTCTATTAGGATTCTAGATCTAGAGATTCTAGATCTAGATGATTTAGATCTACGGAAAAACTAGACTTACACAGATGTAGACCCTACCTAGATCTAGAATCTATTCAAATAATATATATCTATACTAAAGTATTTCAGGCCTTAATTACTTTAATGAAATCTTTGTTTATCTATGCAATTTGCTAATCTCTATCTATATATAAAGCAAAGTTGTCGGGTATATGGCACTTCCCGTCCCCGCAGGCGCTTCAAATTTGGCAGGATCTTGCCTTGGGGGGACAGAACACGGGGGCCGGTTGGCCGAAAAGTCTAAAGTGACCTCGACTGACCGGCGCCTTATATGAGCTATAAATCGAAAAAAAAAGTCCACGTAGGAACCTCTTCATAACTCCTGAGGTCGTAGACCGACCCTCGGGCGAATTAATTAAGTATTCAAATTCTCAATGTTTTCGAAAGCCTAAGCGAAGCTGGGCAGAATGCGTAGTCTATATATATATATAAAGCAATATATGTGTGTGTGTCTTTTATGCATTACGACACCTCTTATCACATTGCCATGAAACTCTAGGAAGTTGTTGAGAATATTCCTGGGGAGGTTTCTGTGAAAAAAAAATTCAAATTCGCAGGGGTGGCGCCCCAGCAGGGCGCGATTTGTTTTTTCTCTATATACGGTATATAAAAATAAAATTCGATTTTGTGTTGCCACCATTCATCCGATCGCCATCAAACTTTGGTGACCTCATAAGAACACTCTGGGGAAGGGTTCTGTAAAAAAATTATTTTTAATTTTGCAAGGGCGGCGCCACGGGATGGTGCGATTTTTCTCAATATACGGTATATAAAAATAATAAAAGTGAACTGCGGTGACACCGTTCACACTATCGCCATGAAACTTTCGGAAGATGTTGAGAATATTCCTGGGGAGGTTTCTGCGCTAACAACATTTTCAAATTCGCAGGGGTGGCGGCCCGGCAGGGCGTGGTTTGTTTTCTCTTCAAATATGGTATATAAAAATAAATGTCGATTGCGGTCTCACAACGTTCATTCGATGGCCATCAAACTTCAGGGACTTAATAAGAACACTACAGGAAAGGGTTCTGTAAAAAAATCATTTTTTATTTCGCAAGGGCGGCGCCACAGGAGGGTGAGATTTTCTCTATATATAGTATATAAAAATAAACGTCGATTGCGGCTCGACACAGTTTATCCCGGTGCCATAAAACTTTAGGGAGTAGATGAATACTCCAGAGGTTTCTGAGGTGGGAGGGGGAATAGGGATGGGTGGGTGGTGGGGGAGGGGGATTTAATATTGCATGGAAAGCCCCCGGCAGGATGCGATTTGACGCCCTGGTCTTTCCAGTGGGCGCTATGGTAACTACTTTCGGTCTAAACATTGTGTTAGACAATGGATAGGATAGGACGTTACAAGCGCTCATTAAATTGAATCAGGCATATCCTCTGGCGCCCTGGTAGGGTGCGATTAGGCTGCAAATAAAAATGTCTGTTTCAGCCCCCAAAGGCTCACATGGGCCGCTGAGGGCCATTTAATACGTTTTATTTTAATAATCAGAAAAATTAACCAAGGTTAGATTATTAACTGGGATGTTTCTTTTTGTCCGAAAAAAAATCCAAACAGTTTCGTCACTTTGCGAATGATGCAATTAGCATCTATTTTATATAATCAAATCAGAAATTGAGACGAGCATCTAATATCTAAGAATAGACCATTAGAAACGCTAAAATATTGCATCAGTCACACTGATGTTTTAAACACGTCAAATATTTTTTTTACGTGTTAAATAACAAATCCTGTTCAATTGTGTCACTTTGGCGAATGGCGCAATCTGCATCATTGTTAACAGGATGCTATTTGGCACGATGGCGCCTGTTAGTTTTAAGGAGCCAGGGTTGGTACGCCGCCCCTACGCGGTAGTGTAATCGAGGGGGGGGGGCTCCTGAGTGCGCCTCTCTACGTCTCTGACACATGGGCGGTCACCGAGGTGTGTTCTACCATATTATTTCGTTGAGTGATTAATGTACACTCAAGGTTTTCATGCGGTAGTGTAGGTAAACCCGTGCCCCTATATTTATGATCCAAGCGCAGGCATTGTTTACATTTAAATAACTCACTTTTAGAAAACAAGGTCACGAGTGTAAGAGTATAGGATTGGTAATGCATGGATGAAAGCCTTCTTATATATTTCGTCGGACTTTCTTCTATTCCCGCGGCAACGCGCGGGGACGGGTACGCTAGTGAGATATAAAAATACTGTCAAAAGTCTTATTTTAATGGACAGTAATGTTGACGCCAAATACTGAACAGACAAATGATGATGCAGTTGGTTTTAATTATCATTTGATTGTAAATCATTGGTAATCACCGCTGTGAATGGGGAGTGGTGACAATAAAAACCATGATCATCCCAGCACCCATTGTATTTTTCCCTGAACGGGCGAATCATCTTGTGTATTTATAACTTGCCTGTTCGTTTGCAAAGATGAGCTGGAAATTCCGATGCTTCGGTTTATGCATTTCCAGCTAAAGACACCAATTTTGCATGCATTGGGTTGTTTAGATATATCCGAATTGGTGTATATTTTTAAAAGTATTTGTTTTTAATTGTCAAAATACAAATGTATTAGAAAAGAAAAGACAGCAATGTAGTATTTACCCAAAACACATAAAATAAGTTTATTCTTTTAACTATTCAATCAATTGAATAGTTTTCAATGTAGACTAGCCAAATTCCTTTTGTGAAATTAAACAGTGAACAATCACATTCTGTGATTTCCCCACTCTATTATTTTAAATTTAGTTTCTCTCTTTTTCTATTTTAATTCCTCCTGATTTCTTTTTCTATCTTTTTCTGTTTTTCTATCTCCTAACTTTTGTACAAACTATAACACTTAAACCCCTGCAACCTCTGTTGATCATTCAACCAATATTTCCGTTCAAAAAAACAAAACAGACGCGTAATTCGTGTTTGATGCATTTATTTCTTACGGCACAATGCCTTTTAACATCAGCCGGTAAAAAAAAGTACCCTAAAGACATTTATTTGGTCAGTTCTGCTATTAATTCGAATATCTAAGTGATACTTTCTTGGCTGTTAGTTTAAATTCAAAAACATAAAATTCTTATTTTAATCAGCGATTAATAACACCCAATTCACGCTAACTAAAATAGCAGTGACAGCTCCTGATGGCCAGTTAAAATGACCTTGACTGAGAACGTCCAAACACAGGTTGGTCTCCAGCTCATTGTCGCTGATGTGCAGGCAGACATGAAGACAGCTAAGACTGCAAGAAGTCTCCTGCAAAGTCGGCCTGAAGGTGCAGTAGCAGAGGGCGACACGATTGCTGTCTCCACACGACGGCGACTCCTCTGGGAAGAAACTTTGAGTAAGACGGGTTGAATTAAATCTTTTAGACACGTTCGCGTCTGTCGATCTGTTTTCAAGCGTCCCCTCTTGTGTGACCTTTAATGTGACCTCTCGAGAGTTCAAACTTCGGAGCCTTCGATATAAAACGAAAGATTTTGCCATAGATAAAAGACTCGGCTTTTCAATTAATAAAAATTCTGAGGGATTTAGGAACTGTAGATTTTCATTGACAGCTGTTTTTGTAGAATAAAGCGTGATGTTCAGGCGAGCATCAAACAGTATTTCTGTAGAGTTTTCAGAATATGATACGTCCCATCCGATAAGGCGTTCCAAATAGCACGCGACGAACCCTGGTAACCGGAACTGTTCTTGATGGGACAGGGGGAATCCGTCATCCGTGACAGCCAGCTGCAGAACGTTGGTCATCACACAGTTGCCGTCAGGGCTTTTGTAAAAGGATGGCGAGCACTTGTCCACATCACAGCTCAAACTGTCCAATGTCACCAGGTCGAAGGCTACTTCCGGCGCATGACAGGAAGCAGTCAGCCATGGCATTGACTTACCCGAGAAGCGTCGAGGATAAGACTTTAATTTTATGCCAACTTCATCGAACGAAACTAAGACGGACAGTTGATTTTTGTGCCGTGCGGCGTCTTGATGTTTGATCTCTTTGGGAAAGAGTAATTCCGTTTCGTTCAGACCATTGCAAATAGCACAGTGTCTATTTTTATAAAATGTGTTATCTGCATCGATTACAAAAGAAATGTTTTGACTGCACTTACGTTGGTTATCAAGGGTGGCTAGACTAGGGCTACACTTAGCAATAGCGAATGGGACACACTTGGCCATCACCCTGTTGTTTAACTCTTCAGGTGGAAGATAATAAGACGAGCAGCCTCTGTCCATGTTATCCGACAAATCGCTGGCGTTCTTTAAAGACTGTATGAAATTCTTACTTTGGAAACACACGTTCCATTTGAGAGGGGTGGATTTGCTTTGAGTGTTGCAGTGAAATACGGTGAGGTTGATGAAATTCAATTTTGTTTTCGGGTCGGTGATTGGAACATTGTTCAGAATGTGGTCAAGGTTTAAATTAGAGTCTGTTTTTGTAGTGAGACTATGAAAAAAAGGCGTGACGCCATCTATGTCAGTGGCGTTGTGGATTCCCGTTGGACAAGTGGTGATTAAAAAATAGCCGAAGTTAAGTCTTTCTGTTGAACTACACACAACCTGACGGTCAAAGACGTTACCATAGAGAATTCTGCTGGCGGTGATCACTTCCGGGCACGCCGTGTCCACGTCATCACAGCAGAAGTGGAGCAAGTGACAAGTGACGTCACAGGAGCATGGAAACAGGATCATCCAACATCGGCCTTGACACGAAGATGGTACCCTCATGGGGTCAGGGGAATCATGGTGAGTAGCCCTGGTTGGTGGAGCTGTGGATGTTGTATTGGTAGCCAACATTGGTGGAGCTGAGGATGTTGTATTGGTAGCCAACATTGGTGGAGCTGTGGATGTTGTATTGGTAGCAAATATTGGTGGAGCTGTGGATGTTGTATTGGTTACCCACGTTGGTGGGGCAGCTGTGAATGTGTTTGTTGCTAACGTTGGTGGAGCAGCTGTGGATGTGTTTGTTGCCAACGTTGGTGGAGCAGCTGTGGATGTGTTTGTTGCTAACGTTGGTGGAGCAGCTGTGGATGTGTTTGTTGATAACATTGGTGGATCAGCTGTGGATGTGTTTGTTGCCAACGTTGGTGGATCAGCTGTGAATGTGTTTGTTGCCAACGTTGGTGGAGCAGCTGTGGATGTGTTTGTTGCTAACGTTGGTGTAGCAGCTGTGGATGTGTTTGTTGCCAACGTTGGTGGAGCAGCTGTGAATGTGTTTGTTGCCAACGTTGGTGGAGCAGCTGTGGATGTGTTTGTTGCCAACGTTGGTGGAGCAGCTGTGGATGTGTTTGTTGCCAACGTTGGTGGAGTAGCTGTGGATGTGTTTGTTGCCAACGTTGATGAAATTGTGGATGTTTGGGTTGACCATGTTGGTGGTGATGTGATTGTTGTGCTGTTGTTCTTTGAGCTGCTGGCAAAGTTCAACATAAATTGGTGGCTGTGTTGGACTTGAGCACAGAAAAAAAGTAAGAAAAACATCATGGTTGCCCTAATACCATGTATCATCGATGTGGTATCTAGTGCTTGGATGTATCTAATAAAATGCTTGGCATCTGAAAAAAATTACAGAGATAAATGTGTATCGCATTAATAAGAATGTTCAAATGCATACATCTGTTTACAATATCATTACATTTAAAACTTTGAAAGCCAAACTTCAAATACATTAATGGATCTATTTGATTTAGCTTTTATTTAACAGGAAAATATTACAATCACCAAAATCACAACAATGTCATCTACCTGGTTATACACTAACTTTCGTCTAATGATTTTCTGGTAGGTATTTTGCAGAGATTATTCTGGATTGTAATTGTATTTTTTCAATACCGTTAATACAAAAAATAAAAGTCAATTGTATACCACTAAAATGATTTTCGGACACAAAAATATAATTAAACCTTAGCAAAAATTGTTTATTTCAAAAAGCCAGATACTGTTTAAACAAGCAAATAGGCCTATTCAAACCACTTCATGTTTATAGTGTTTGTGAAGTTAATATTCAAATTCTCTGTAGAATTATAAAAATTCATTTTTTGAGAGCTAAAACTTTTTTTTTACCAAAAAGTGTGACCGATTTAATAGAGAAGCAGCATTAAACGAACCTTACCTACACCGCCTCGTCGCCTTAAAAACTAGCCTTAGATATTGACTTTTTAAGAATATTAATTTAAAAAAAAACACTTTTTAAAAACTTAATTAAACAAAATACAAAATCATGTCTTTTAATTTGAAATTTAATGATAGCTTTTATTGTGAGGTTTTCATATAGATCTAAATATCTGTTTTGTTTAAAGTTTTAAGTAAACAACTATAGTAAACTATTTTCAATAGACTAAACAAATCAATAATAATAAACCGCTTTTAAAAGCATCCATTTGTTAAAAATGTAAAATACATGTAAAATACATTTAATTACACAAAACAATTATTTAAAAAAATGACGTTTTAAAATGGATATTGATTGCGGAATTTCTTGTTTAGCCTTATTAAAACTATGGTTTAATATTTGTGGATATTGTTGACTGCAAAAGCTACTGTTAAATATTTGTCCGTAAAAGCTATTTTTAAAAAAGTAGTTTTTCATCTGGTTAAAATCTCTCAAAACAAACTGCGTAAAACATCAGTTAATAGTGCAATGTCTTATATTACAATGATTTTAGTTAGCCAAAAGTTGAGTACAACAAATGACTAATTACAGGCTAATTACAAACATTTGAAGCGTCGATACTAAAATCTAATGGACAGAGTTATGTGGTACCGGCTGATAAAGTTTAAATGATTATTTATTAATGCATTAATAAACTTAACAACTTTCTTCAATTAATAGCCCTTCCAGTAACCACTTAAACATTGACTAGTCGAAAAACAGAAATACTAACTAGAAATATATTATTGATAGGAATTTTTGTATTGCTAAAGGTTCCAGCCATATACAGTTATTTATTTTGTACCAGGCTCCCGATATGTTTTATAATTTTAGGTTTTACCATCAGTTCGGTCAAAATTTTGTTTAGTTAAACCAACATAGACATTATTTATGCAAAGCAAAACGATTAGGGTAGATACAATAATATGTAATTATGCTGAAACTATATAGGTTTTATATATATATATATATATATATATATATATATATATATATATATATATATATATTATATATATATATATATATATATATATATATATATATATATATATATATATATAGAGAGAGAGAGAGAGAGAGAGAGAGAGAGAGAGAGAGAGAGAGAGGGTGTAGGACAAAAGGCCGACAGACCATAAGGCCGACAGACCATAAAAATACTAATATCGCAAAATATAGCTCCTATCTAGACAACCATCGAAATAAGGAATGAAATAAGACGAAAATTTCAAGAGAATGGACGATGCTAGTAGCTATATTTATAAGATGAACTTTCGGGTCCAAGCGACTGGAGATTACATGAGTGTCTTAAACGCTTATGATTAACAGCTAAATTTTTCGAAATACACTCGTGTTTTCATATCTTCTATGTCAACGATGTGAGAAACCATCAGATAGAAGTCAAAAGCCGCCGGCATCATCGTCCACAAGCAATAAGGCAGAGCGACAAGAAACAATGCTAGTTGCTATCCTTATCAGGTGAACAATGGGGTCCATGCGACTGGAGATGACAGGGGTGTACCAAGGATAAACAGATAGATGGCGTTACCACCATATGTCGCAAAGAATTGTAAGAAACCGAATGAAGTTGACCGATCACGTTTCCTTGACCGGACTACATGTTAAATACCGACAAAATTTGAATTACATTTTAGTTTCGTCCATTACGGATTGCGTAAAACAAATTTGATACTATATTCGTTCGTGCGGTGTCAAAACGGCCAATGACAAAACGGCCCCGTCAATACGACCCCAACAAATCGACCCCGACATAAGAGCCCCGTCATATCGACCCCGTCAAAAGGGTCAGCGACATATGGACCCCGTGGATGTAAGACAAAATGGTTACTTTTATGCCAGTAGTGGTAATACGATTCATTTGTCTGGAGCCAAAATGTCGGGAGTCATTTTGTCAGAAGCCAATATATTGGAAGCCCTTTTCTTGGTAGCCAACATGTCGTGAGCAAATATGTCGTGTGTCAATATGTCGGGAGCCGCTTTGTCGGGAGCCAATATGTACTGAGCCTATTTGTCGGGAGCCAATATGTCAGGAGTCCATTTGTTAGGGAGCCTAAATCGGCTCCCGACATATTGGCAACCGACAAACGGGATCCCGAAATATTGGCTTTCAACAAAATGACTCAGAACATATTGGCTCCAGACAAATGAATGGCATGACCACGTATGGATAAAAGGTAACCATTTTGTCCTGCCTCCAATACCACTATACTCTCTTTTAATTCCTGAATGAAATTGTTTTTCATGAACCAACATCAATTCACAAACAAATCGAGTCCTTAACAGCTAAATTCCACCATTTGTTAAGATTTAATAATGTTTAATTTACAACAGTAAAGATCTTTGCTTAAAAGCTAGGACATAAGTGTACATGTATGATATGCATGCTGTTTACAGGATAACGGCATTTTGTTTTGATAACCTACAAGCACACTGCAGGTAGGAATGTACAGCGTGGATCCCTCTCCCAACACACTAAGTTGGAACAGCCTATAACCGACTCATTTATGGAAGTCATAGATACTATTTCTTATAATAGATAAACTATTATAGAAATATGGCCAGCCGAACAAAAGATGCATACGTTGTATTACTTAAGCTAACTCTAAAGAATATTGATGAAAGGGTCCCACTGCCAGGTTTCATATTCAATTAGACCGTTTAGCCGGGTGACTTAGTTTCTACAGAAACCGTATTGTCAGTGGTCCTTTAGTCGGGAGCCAAATTGACAGGAGTCTATTTGTCGTGAGCCAAAATGACGGGAGCCTATTTGTCGGGTTCGTAATAACGGGGGCCGTTTTGTAGAGAAACTAAATGACGGGAGCCTATTCGTCGGGAGCCTTATTGACCGGAGCCTATTTGTCGTGAGCCTATATGACGGGGTCCATGTGTCGCTGGCCAGGCCACAATTGAAATAAACAGGTCACAAATTAACTTAACAAAGGACACACTTTATTTTAACCAGGCCACAAGTTAACTTAACCAGACCACAAATTAACTTAACCAGACAACAAATTATTTTAACCAGGCCACAAATTAGTTTAACCAGGCCACACATTAACTTAACCTCTAGGCCAAACATTAACTTAACCAGGTAACACATTAACTTAACCAGGTAACACATTAACTTAACCAGGCCACAAATTAACCTAACCAGGCCACAAATTAACTTAGTTAAGCCACAAATTAATTTAACCAGGCCACACATTAACTTAACAAAGGACACAGATGATTTTAACCAGGCCAAAAATTAACCTAACCAGACCACGCATTAACTTAGCCAGGCCACACATTAACTTAACCAGGTAACACATTAACTTAACAATTGCAGAAATTAACCTAACCAGGACACAAATTAACATAACCAGGCCACACATTAACTTAAGCAGACCACACATTACCATAAGCAGCCACCGAAAACTTCCGCAAGTAGACAATGAATCAGAACGCTGTACCATGTTTTTGTGACCACGTAGGCTACATTCAACTTGTGTGTCTGCGTGTAAATCCACATCATACAAATCTTTCTATCATTTGGTTTACATTTTCAGTAAACACTGACAATTTAATAATCGTCTGGAATTGTTTCTTTAAATATTTATTATTGTACTGTTAGTAGTAGTATGGAGTTGAAAATCATAAAGTAAATTGTTTTTAAATTTTTAAATATAATTTTTATTGATATCATGTTGTCTAAAATTTACGAATGAACTGCAGAAATGACAGTATGTAGAAGTAAACTGCATATTTTTTAAATGCACTAGAAAAAAAATTCAAAATAATTTATAGTTTAGGAAAAAGTAGATTTCTTTAAATTAGCTAACAGTTTTTTTAAATAAAACTGTAGACTCCCTGAGGTGTCGTAATGAAGGCGTTTTTTAATATATATATATATATATATATATATATATATATATATATATATATATATACATTTTAGATACATCATTTCTTACAAAATAACTAAGCTTGAACACATTTATAATAACTTTATCGGTGTTGAGTAACAATTTATTACTCATGAATGGTGATGGGATCTGCCATAATTTTCGACAGTTTCTGTGCAACTCCCAAGGTTAAAATTTAACTTAAATATTGGAAAAAAATTTATGAAATCAGTCTCCATATTGAATTTTCCCAGTAAATTCAAGTCTCGTTTTTTTTTTTTTTTTGGAAAATAACAAATAAAAGTGCTGCGTAAACGGTTGTGTATTTCCTTTAGACTTTACACGACTCTGAGATAAAGATAAAACAACTCTTGCTCAGCCGATTTGTCATTACATATTTTATAATTATTCACTAATTATGCGAAATAAGAGACTGGTTATAAGTAATAAAAGTAAAATTAAAAATACCCCTTTAGACCTTATGATCCATTGGGCAGATGAAGTCGAGTTTATATGTTTCTTGACCTCTGCATATCAAGGGATAATGTAATCAGCACTATGCCCAGCCACCTTTACTTTCCGCAACCTGAGTTAGGTACCCATCAGAATTGGGTGGACCCAACCGTACTCTGAAACTAGGGGCGCCTAACCGTACTCTAAATCCGACAGAAGCGTCTGATTCGATTTAGTAAGTAAACGGTCATAAGAGCTTACCGTATGCATAGCGTCTGGCACTCTTTAAATCGAACGGAAGGATGGGTGAGACACAGCAAGGATCATCCAAATGTGACACGCCAGGCGCTTGAGTGCAACCGCAACGGAAAGCGGAAGAGAGGGCGCCCAAGACAGAACTGAATGCGCAGAAAAATAAATAACACATTCACACACCACTTCAAAAAGTTAGTGTTGATCAAGTTGACCTCAGTGTTTCTTCCAGGTACTTAACGAACATATTCTTGAATACCTTAGGTGAATTTAGTTAAAACAATATATTTAAAAACATTGTGCCCATTCGGGCAAGTGTCCATTCAAGAAATCGGCCTTCGTGCAAACGGCAAGTGTCTTTCGTGAAAATGCCCGGCTCCCAAAAAAAGCAGTAGCTAATTCAAAAATTAAAAGATTCGAAATGCAAGACCAATAATTAAAATTAAATATACTCTAAGTCGGCATTTGATTGTGTCACCCCACCCATCACCTCACACCCCCTGAAATATGTATGTATGTATGTATGTATGTATGTATGTATGTATGTATGTATGTCAGTGGCGTAGCGAGGTCGGGTGTCACCCGGTGCGGCACTTAATGGTGTCACCCCCCCAGAGGTGTTGCGACCCTTCCCGGGGACAAACTTTCAAGTTTTCGATTTGCACCCCCCCCCCCCCTCAAACTTTCGATTTGCACCCCCCCCCCCACACTCGAGTTTTCTATTTGTACCCCCCCCCCTCAAACTTTCGATTTGCATCCACCCCCCCTCAAGTTTTTCTCTATATATTTTGCTCTTTTGCCTTGGTGTCACCCCCCTAAATGGTGTCACCCCCCTAAATGGTGTCACCCGGTGCGGTCCGCACCCCCCGCCCCCCCCCCCCCTCGCTACGCCCCTGATGTATGTATGTATGTATGTAAGAAGTATGTATATATATATATATATATATATATATATATATATATATATATATATATATATATATATATATATATATATATATATATATATATATATATATATATATATATATATGTATATATACTCCATATACCCTTATCAGTATACGCATTTGTATATTCAAATAAATAATTTTTTTTTCTGGACGTATTTAATTTTTTAAGCTAATAACTGAATTTAGTCCTTCACATTTTAATTCATAGGAAAATGAGTAACATAGCGACAAATACTTTTTTACAACATTTAAATCTGCTAGAAGCTGTCTACCTTTTATGCGTATACTAAATCAGCAATCAAATTATTATAATTTAACATAATCCACAGCAAAATATACTTAAAATTTAAGGATAAAACTGACTTAAGGCAAGAATTAATTGGTTCAAAACGTTTGGCAACTCTTTTCATGGCAATAAAAGCGTCTAAATTTGTCAAAATGTCAAACCAACCAGTTCTGTTCGTCTAGCTTTTATTTCTTACGAGCCGACCCGGGGCGTAGCATACGCCGCTATTTAGTTGTTTTATTTTCTACTTTTTAGTAATTCATAATTTGTGAATTCGACACTATCCTTCCCCTCCCCCCTTTCAACCCCCTCCACAGTGTAAAAGCAGCCGTCCCTGACGACAGTTTACAGACGACAGTGAAAAGTTCAAGCAGAACTTGTTAGCTCCCCTTAGTTTAAAAACTAAATAAACTGCCCCTAATAGCCGTCACTAATTTGACCCGGCTCTACAATTATAAACATTTGGCGTGAACAACAGCTCACCATACTGGTGGGGGTGGTAGCGATATGGTCTGTTGAGCGTGCCTGGAGAGCGAGGAAGGGGGCGGATCGGCGTGCGTGCATGGTGGTGGTGTCCCGCATGGTCCCACGTAGATAATTATTCATATAGGTGATGTCCGTTATTCATGTTCGTCTCTAGGTTGTTTTAACTTAATTTTTTCACAATAGATTATTAAAAGTTGTGACATTTTGTAATGCGTACTTTTAAATATTAATTAAAAATCAAAACGTTTTCGTTTAACTTATTACATTTTTTAAATAAACCGGGTGTGATCTCCCTTTAAATTTCTCGAATATTCTTATATGACACTACGGGGGATGGCAACTCGGGATGTAGACAAAATTTTAAATCCATTTTTAATTACTTAAACTTTTTTAAATAGAATAGAATCTCGTAGAAAAAAAGAATTTCACACCAAGTGAACGCCAAATAAAATGTGTATAATAGTGCGGAATATTATTAGTACTTAATAAATTCACATGCGTTTTTTTTTTAAAATCGGAAATAGCCTAAATTACTCCTTCCGGTCAACGGAAGTTACTCAAAATTTGAAAGAAAACAGATATTTATATCTTTTACTTATATGTGAAATTTCATTTATCTATCTATTAAAAGGGATAACAACGCGCTGATTTGCTTCTAAATATCAGTACCGAAGCTGGAATGTTCTCAACTACTTTTTTAAAAGCTTAGTAGAAATTACTCAAGGGAGAGAATTCAAATTATACACATTTACTATCACATTTTTTATAAAACAAAAATAAGTAAACATCCATAAAACCTAAATTATTGCTATTATATCCTTTTTGATTATTTTTAGAATTCATGTTAGTGCAGAATAGTATTTCTAACTGTACAAAAAACGTACATTTTACATTGTAAAATCACAATGGATTGTGGGCCCCTAACCAACGCAAAAGCAAAAAGTCGTCTTAACGTCTAGAAGCCTCTCGCGCAATGGACTTAGATTTTTTTTTCAAAAGTTATTGCAGGCAACAGCGTTTGTTCGATTGTAGGAGAAAAGGGGACTCGGCTTTCACAATGGTTTAAAAACAAAGGGAAAAGAATATACAAATCGTGGGATTGTGTCTATAGAATAAAGATGATCCTACCGCAGCTGCAGTATTTATTTTACAAAACAACCATCAAGTCAAAAAAGCAAGAACATTATTTTTTTAAATATAAAAATATTGATTATGGTCGGCTGTCGGCCCCTAAACGGTGTGCCCCCCCCCCCCCACCCGCATTGCTGGGTCTGGCGGCATTGTAGTTCCGCCCAGAGTTTCATCCAGGCATCTCTTCGAAACAATTTTACGCCCCCCCCCCCCCCCCCCGAACGAAATAAAATTTATATAATTTATATAGAAAATATATACTTTTAGCAGTGTCCGGCCCCCCCCCCCCGAAGAAAGTCTACCGCCCCCCCCCCCCCCCCCCCCCCGAAAATTTCAAATGTCCCCCGGAGAAAAAAGTCTGGAAGAAACACTGGTTCCGCCCCTAGGTAGAGGATGGTTTCTCAAAGATTTTGAAAAGATAAAATAATTCAAAATTTATTTTTTAGGTTGTCAATAAGAAAGATATTAGAAAATGAGTGGACTCTATTGTTTTAAAATGCCTTTAATTTTCTAAATGCAGTCATAATTTTAGCGTTTATTTTTAAAAATTAAATCATTGTAATTTATAATGGGCTAAACATTTATTAAGCGAATTACAAGTTTACCACGTAAGGTACAACACAAAAATCTCAAAATTGTTTCGTAAATAAAAGATTTAATCTAAATGTGGCAGGTTTTTTAAGTAAGGGAGACGAATCTAACAATTTACTCTTTCTTCCGGCAATGCTTTAGAGACACAAAAACATTGCAATACTTCTAGCGTAAATTTTATCAGCGTCAACAACACACTTTGTCTAACTTGTTGTGACTTAGTACACTCTTTTAATATGGTAAATTAACTTAAAGAATTGATTCTTTTATATTTACTAACTAGGTTATGAAAAGATCAGTCAAAATCAGACTTACTTATTAAAAAAATCTGACTTTTTCTCTAGTAGAGAAAAAGTCAGATTTTTTTTCCGTGTGTGTTGTTGCCATTCCCTAGCTAGAATCTAGATCTAGATCTAGTAGCCAGGGCCTGCTAGGGGTAAGGCCTATGGTAAAACTCCATTTTAGCGTATTTTATTCCCCGCTTCACATTCACCTCCAGTTTAGTCTTTTAAACACCAATTATAAATACGAAGTTACTAGGCCTACTCGGTAAAAGATTTTTCTCCCCGTCTCCACTTAGTCGACAAAAGATAGTTCTGCGCATATGCAGTGACCTATCTATGGCTAGGGTTAGGGATAGGATTAGGCAGGACTAGGTATCTGCGGTTGTAAACACGCATGCGCAGTACCATCGAAAACATCGCCGCGATGGCAAGTCGTAGTTTCTCTCCATTGCGCATGCGTACCTTTTTCCGACTAGCCTCGGCCATATAAATATCTTTGCTCCATTGATTGCCTGCTTACATTTTCTTGTCAGCATGAGAAAAATACAGACATGGTCTAAGTTGGGTCACTGTGAGTTCGCTCAGGTTAGATGTGAATAGTGTATAGTCCGACTCGTTGATGAGATGGCGAGATTGACCTCTGAAACATCACGCATTGTTTTCTGCGGTTTTTACATTTATTTTAGGGGTCCTATCCGCTATTATTAGTATCGTTACGTCATTGTTAAGCTAGTTATCAAACAGAAACAAATAGTTTTTATTTTTTTGCGGAATGAACTGTTAAGTCTAGTATTTTAATTATAAGTCAACTGTTGCATGTGCAGAAAAAGTAAAATTATGGACATTATTATTGTATTAGTAATTTTATTAGTATATTGATTTTTTTCTCTGTGGGCTGACAGTAGCTCTGAGTAGCTGCATTGAATTTAATTCTTGACCAGTGGTTAACTACCGTTAACCTTGCCAACGCTGCGTAGCCTATTCGTCTATATAATTTGTATGAAATGTTGTATAGTATTTCTAACGATGCTCGTTCAGTGGCCCTTTTCAGAGCTAGGCCCAATTACTGGCGATTTTTAGACTTCATTTATCGGCCGTTAGCCTTTGTCATTGCTGCGTATTTAAAAAAATGCTTGTTCAACTGCCTTTTTTGGGGGGTTATAATGTTTACGGGCATTTTTAGCGTTTATTTATTTTTAGCTAGGCCTAGATCTAGGAAAAAGTGTGCAGCGCAAAAATACAATCATTTGGTTAGATCTATGACTATATATGTGTTATACCTAAATATAGAATGCATTCCGCCTTCTTCATTGGTGATCATTTGTATTTTTTTTAACACATTTTTTTTAAATTTAAAAAGCAAAACATACTGTTTGTGTACAAATATTGTCATAAAACACAAAATACAATGTCAAAGTTCCATAAGTGATGTACCACACTCCATCCCCAGCCTACATGAATATAGTTTCATTTTCAACCCCCGTTAGAAATGTGAGCTAATGATGATCTCACTAAAAACATTATTGTGTTTTACTCCTCTCCCCACCTTGCAGCACTTTACCTTAAAGCAATAAACAACCTCTGGAAGGTCTAGGATGCTGCAAATTTACTTTCAATATTGGGATTTCTATAATATTGGAATTCTGTGGGTTTGTTCATTAATATGTTAATTACAGGCATGATTTGAAACCAATATCGTTGAATAATATGAAAAAAATAACAATTTTAAAGTATATATTTCTGAAATGACCATGAAACATTGTTTAAAAAAACTGAATCACGTTATTGTAGTTTTTGGCAGCCATCATTATCATGGCGATAGTAAAAAAAATGTAGGTCAAGCGACAACCTAATATAAGTATTCTTAAATTTCCAGCCTAAGCCAGTAAAGAAGAAAAAGAAGTTCATTCACAAAAAGGAAGCCACCACCTACCGCCTCATCCCTGGTTATGTTGAGGATGATGAGGAAACTAGTCCAGCCACTTGCTCTACAGAGGAGGTAATTACTTTCATTAAATACTATTTTACTTCATTGTCATATGAATTAATGCTCAGCATATTTTATGAAGTGTAATGGAGTATGTTTAAAGGTTTGAGCTGAGCTGTGAAATGAGAGAAAGAGCGGCATGAGGCAATATAGAGCATTAACCAAAACCCTATTTTTCACAAGGAACCAAAAGAAATAATGACGAATCATTATGCAGTTCTTGTACATACCTTTTTAAAAGGCACAGATAGCACTTTAGCAGTACAAAAATTACACCCCTTTTTCTCTTTTTTTTGGACTAAACACTAAATTGTTCTTACACTGTGGTTTTACAATTTTGTACATCCCTGAAGCTGAAGCAGCTCATACTTAAATCATTTGACTGACCATCTTAACATCTCATTGACAATTGGCTACTTATATATTTATTCATAAACCTTTCTTACCACTGGCTGTAATAACCTTTACATTGTGAGCAACATGAGCCCTCAAACTACTTTAAAACAGCTTTTTTGAACAATTTTGCAGGCAGGTGGCCTTCTTACCTTATGTATTGTTTTTCTGTTAAAAATGTGTGTCTCTCATGTGTTCTGAGTTAAACACACACAGCTCTTAGGTTAATCTACCGTTACAACACTTTGTTGCTATATAAACACTATCTTTTGTTGCAGCTTGAGTCTAGGAAAGAGGAGCAACGGAAACATGGGATTTACTTTGATGATGCTTACAACTACTTGAAGCACTTGAGGTCTGTGAATGAGCAGGCAACGTTGGTCAGCACAGAGAGCTATCAGATAGCTCGGGAACAGGATGAGGTATATTACATTCTCCCCATTAAAACATTAGTAAAAAAAAAAGTAAAAAAAAATACTTTTATGATTAGTTGTTTTCCATCCAGCACATCCAGTTAACAATTTTCCTGATTCACTCTTCGCATTTTTTTTACAACAGGTGCGATCAATTGCCAGTGGTCCACCACTGTTTATGGAGTATTTTTCTACTGATGCTACTGAAGGTTTGATAATATCAACTTTTATCAAGTTATCATTGCTAATGATGTTTAATATAATTCTGTTTAAACATTTGAGTCGTTTGTTGTTGTGTTGCTGAATGGTTGAGACCTGTAAAATAAATATTTAACAGAAGAAGAGATTGACCCGGAGCTTCTCTCTGCCCTGGAAAATGCCCCAGCCGTAAACTTGGATGATGTGGAGGAGACTGAGTTGCTGGAGGATTTCCTGGACGATGATTTTATAACCAAAGCTGGTGGTGTACTGCCAACAGAAGATGACAATGTTTCAGACAGGTAATGGAGACATTTTTTTTAGTGGTTTGTTTAATTGTGTAATAGGCTCGAAAAGCTGGTTCCAAATGGTTGTTGCCAGGAAGTGTATTTTTCAACCAACATTGAATATTTTTTACTATTTGAGAAATAAGTACAAAACAACTGCCGGTTTTATTAAGGCTAGAAATATTCAAACAAATAATTACTGGTAAGATAACAGTAATTTAGCTAACACTTTTATTTTAATCTGGATTAGTAGAGTAGGGGTGTTGTGGTGATCTTAGTCTTGTCAGTTCATTGCATTGGGTTATAGTAGTAAAAAGATTCCAGTTGTTAAGGGGTTTTGTTGTACATGGAAGTTTTCTGCATTCTATTTATATCAAGAATAGGACTTATTAAATCTAATGATTTAGGGAAGATGACTTTCAATCTGATGAAGATGAGGACGAATGTTCAGATTTGGATGAAAGTGAAGATGAGGAAGATGAAAGTGATGATTTATCAGATGACGAACAAGAGCAACATGGAAGAGGGACTGTACAAGATGATATCATAGCAGCACAAACAGCATTGGTAATTTTTAGTTCTAATTCAAGAACTATATTTTAAGTGTTAACACTCATATATTTACTTCTACATTCATACATCAAAATCTGGTTTATTATTCATTCTGTAGTTACATTTTAAATTTATACTGATTTTATTGAGATTTTGTTGTAAATCTGCTAAATGTTTTACTATTCATTTTATAGATGCATTCTAGAATATCATGTGAAATAACTTATTCACATTACGCATTTTTAAAATTTTTTAAACACTTATCATCGTTAATTAATTAAAACCAATCACTAATGCAGATTCTACGTAACTTTGAAGAGGGCTATGGATTCCGCTGCTCAAACCAGATCTCTGATGATGAGCCAGAGCAAGTCACAGCAGAGGATTATGAAAATTTGAAACACATTCTAAAGCAAGACAAGCTCACACAGGAGCCAGTGTAAGAATTCAGTTTGTGCATCAAGTAGCGAAAGTTCTTAGCAACACTCCAATGTGTTTGTCTGCTGAAACTATCCCAGTTATTAAATGCTTTAAAATTGGCACGATAACTTGCAGATTATATTGTTTGGTGTACTTCACTCTATAATACACCCACAATGGTTGCTTTAAGAATAGTTTCTTTTTAGCTAATGATTTTCAAGGCCACAAATATTGGTTCTTTACACTAGTTTATGAAGTCACTTACAATATATGAATATTTAAATTTCTAAATTCATTAATCATATTTTAACTCTATCCAACCAGAATTTTTTTCATATTCCACCAGTATAAATTTCTCACCCTCAATTTAATTTTAGTACCTACACCACAAAAAGACTTTTTCCCAGTATATTTAAAACCTATAGCCTTACAATTATATTATTTAACCAAATTCAATGCTCAACACACCTATATTAAATACTATTTTATTTTAGAAAGATAACATACTTATTTGTAATCAATTTAAAATAACAATTGTCTTTCTACAGAGAAATAAATAATATACTTATCTAGGAAAAAAGACTAACAAAAAATTACTTTTAGTAATTCTTTATTCTTACAAACAAAAGCGCATCTATTTTTCTACTAAAATCATGGATTAGAATCAGAATAAATACATATTATCATTTTTTTAATACAACATAGATGTTTATGCATGGCAGCTGAATGAGGTTTTGCAGTGCTTAGCAAAAATGTGTTCTGTAATTGTGGTAACAATTTGAATGAACAAAATGTCTCTAGATCCTGTCTTGTAACAGAATTTAGACTAATGCTGTTCATTTTGCTTTAGGTCTTGGTCTGAAGGTAACAATTAGAATGAACAAAATGTTGAAATGTTGTTTTTAGATCCTGTATTGTAAATTATTGTAACAGAATTTAGACTAACGCTGTACATTTGACTTTAGGTCTTGGTCTGAAGTGTTGGACGACAAGTCAGAAAAACCAAAAGTAGACACCTCAAAATATCTGTATGATGATGTTGATGAATATGAATGGAAGGAAGTTGCCCCATCTAAGCCGAAATTTGACTGTGTTAGCATTTTGAGTAGGTTTACAAACCCCCCATATTTGTTTTACCATTTAAGTTTTTTAAAATAAATTTTTTTTTTTTTAGAATGGGAACCAAATATGAAGTTTTATTTATCTAAAATTTGTTTCCATTTGTTGAAATTTTAAAATGTTTTCAAATTTACAGGTTTGAATTCAAATACAAGAAACTTACCTACAGATTTACTGCCACCCAGGACAGAGGTTGGTGTGCAGGATTCTAGCTCTTAGGCCTTAGAAAAATGTTATATTTTATAATCATTTAAGGTAATTAACTAATTGACTTGCCTTAAACCTCCCCTGAGGGAGGTATTGGGCTTGGGACTAGTAAGGTAAATTTTACCTTATATCCCTGACCCCCACCCCCAAATTTATGGAATTATGCCAGCAAAGTGCACCTTTATTTTATCACCTAATTATCATGCACATGGTATCCCCTCCTATTCCGAGGGTTAGAGCTGTAGCATTGCTGAGTTTACCTGCAGTAGGAGATATGTATGAACTAAACATCTGCAGGGCAAGAAGAAAAGTTCCAAGTCTGTGGCTGACTCTGATACCTCTAATGGCCAAGGTTTGACACTGAAGCAGCTGGATGCTGAGATCCGAGAAAACAGGAAGGCAGACAAAGCTAGCACATTCAGGCCCCAAGATGAGACCATTGAGGAGAAAAAAGCAAGGAAGAAGGCAATCAAGGATGAGAGAAGAGTAAGAGATTTACATTTATTGACAACACTTGGTAGTTTTGTTTCAAATTTTTGTGTAATTTCTGTTCCGCTAACAGAATTTTTGCTAATACTTTATAGCATATAAAGATAATACTTGACCATAGCTCACTGAATCAATCTGATCTTTTTAAATTATTCTCTTGGCTTTTTATTTGTTAACCCTTAAGAGTTGATAAGTTTGTTTTTCTTTATTTGGTCTTTTTAAATTGGATGGAACAACACAGTTTTTAAATTGTAATCTGTTTGCTACTTCTTAATTTAACAAAGTACACTTCTCCTTTCCTTAAACTGTTATAATGTAGGTTTGATTTCTATTAGTTAGATCAGATTTGGTCATTATTTGCCAAAATGTGTTTGATTAAAATAAACTTGTGCAAATTATAATTTTGGTTTCAGGGAAGTTTTTCTGATGTACTTTATTGTTTTTGTCCTATTTTTTTAAATTGTGGTTAATATTTTTTTGCCAACTTATATATATTGGAGCAATAGTTGTACCTTATCTATAAATATTTTGGATTTGAATTAAATTTTTGTAAATAAGGTACCCTTTTGGACATGAAAAAAGTAGATACAGTAGATTTCATCTGTTTATTAAGCCTCAGCATTTTAATTTTTAATGGGAAAAAAACCCAGCAAAAATGAATCCATTTTAATAAACATTAAATTTTTTATGTTTGTTTAGGAAAGGCGTCAAGAAAAGAAAGCAAACAAACAAGTGTTTGCCATGGAGCATGAAAAGTTACAGAGAGAGACTGCAGCTTTGTCAAAATCTGTCAAAAGTGTAAAAATATGCTGAGAAATTACATATGTAAATATTTTAATGTACACAAGGGAGTTGGTAGTTTTATTTTAATTTACAAGGCAGGTATTTGCGTTTTTATCAATTCACATCATTCTTTTATACACATAAATGGTTTGTGTAATTGCTGCTGAGTGATTCTAGTTTGATTGAAGTTTTATGAATACATTTCTAATTATGTGGATTATACATTTTAGTAAAGATTGTTGTCTGAGATATTCCTATGCTTCTGTGTAAATGTAGGAATTTCTGATGGTTAGTAAGTTAGTGTTGAGTCATGTTTTTTTTTTTTTTGTGTAAATGAACAGTGTTGAATAAATATAAAAAAAAAAGTTTTATTATGTTAAAAAGAACTAAAAATTATGAAATAAAGTTAAAGTATTTTTAAGTAGGTGCCTGTTTTAAAGTTTTAAAATATAGAATTGTTCAAACTATATTTGCTGTTATAAATTCTGTATAAAGATTTATTGTAGTGAAAAATTTTGTAAATAAACAGACATGTGATTGAGATTTTCCTGTTATTTGAATTGCTTTATCAAATTGTATGTTGTGACAGAAAAATCACACTTCAAAAACTGAAGAGATTGTAAACCGTTTCAAATAAGTCTCATTTAATGTTCCACAAGTTGACTCCCATTTTAGTAAATAACACAAAGCTTTGTTGTGAAATGCTGAAATTCTCAACCTTTTTTTTTTCATTTTTGAATTTAATAAATTATCCCAAACTCCAAAAAACAACAGTCATGGTTTTTTATTCAGATACTTATTCATACTGATATAAATATATGTATATATATTATATATATTGTTATAATATAAACTAATATACATTAAAAACTCAAAGGCTTCAGCTTGCCAGTCACTCACGCAGGTTAAAACCTGTGCACTTATAGTAATTTTTTAAAATGATTTTTAAATATTTTATTTTCTTAAAGATTTATTCATGTGTTATTTACTATTAGTAATATTAGGTTTCGACAATTTTTTATGGGACACATTTAACGGATCTTCCTATTCGGGAACATAAAGAAACTAATCTTAGTAATAATGATATTTGCTGATTAAGGCAGCGAGCATTAAGAAATACCTTTAAAAACAACAAAAAACATTAATTATCGTTTTTAACTGAATTATTATGGTAATAAAACTGTTAAGTTATTAAATAATTAAATAAATTAGTTTATTGCTTTGTTAGTTAAAAAGTAGCCTATATTTTAGTGTTGTTATCTGTCATAATATTATGCAAATTTTATATTTGATGTGTGGACTTTGCTACTAAGTTAACTTCAGCCTGCCCACCCACCAACCCCCCCTATTTTCCAGTATGGACCTCATAAATCTATGTCTCAAAAGAAGGCGGTAGTTCGGTTCTAGGAAGAGGGATTCATTTGGAGTTAAAGACCTTATAAAGGGTGGGGTGGTGGTAGTAGGAAATTGGTTTGTGTTTTGCTGTGCAGCCGACAGACCGTTTTCCAACGGGGAAACTGGGTCGTCTAGTTACACTTGTAGGCCTTCATTCTAAAACATTTTAGAGATAAAAAGATTAGATTTAAAAAGAAAAAAGGGTTTCAATTACTTAATTTCGTGTGGCATTGATTGGTTGTTGTTCTAAAGATTGTTCAGTAGACCTTGTTGACTGACTTCCGCAAAAAAATTTCAATGGTCTTGAATGCCTTCGCAGGGGATTGAACCCTGGATCTTCGGTTTACGAGACCGACGCCTTACCACTTGGCCACGAAGGCTGTTCATTATCTGTGTGTTCATTTGTGGGTTGTTTCCCCGCATTTTAATCAACAATTAATCAACGGGTCTATCTTTACCATTTGATCTTTTATTTTTAGTTTCTGTGTGATGACCTCAATACGTTATCTTTTGTTTCAAATTAAAACATGTCATAAACCCATAGACTTGTCTGTATATTTCTTGTTTGTTTTTCTGCTTCATTTTATGCTAACGTTCTATATTTTAAGGCTCTATTATAAACCTACTACACAGATGGCGAAACTCCAGGATAGCCTTAGTCGTATCGTTGAATATTGCCGCAAATTTATGATTCCACGAAATTAACCTAGAAAAGATGAGGGGGGGGGGGGGACACTGTCAAAAATATATATTTTCTATATAAATTCCGTTTCGTTCGGTGGGGGGTTGACTTTCTTCGAAGTCATAAAAAAAAGCGTGGGTCACTATATTATCTACTAATATTTAGGCGAAGACCAAAGCTTACTTCGGAATAATTGTAGCCCCATTCTTTATTTAGACAATTTTAACTAATTCACCACAAAAATTAATAAGCATCCAATTAAGTCAAATTTGATGTCAGATTGTATTGTCATCGGGTCTTGCTCCACGTACCAAGTTTGAAAAGAATCTGTTAGTTAGAAGTGCTCAAAATTTCGCTCGGCAGTTTCGATCTACGACGGACGACATAAAAAAGCACGACAGACAGACAGAGGAAGCACATAAAATGAAAGCTTATAATAAAACCCAACACAAAGAGACGTTAGTCTAAAAGCTAATGGCTATAATTAGATGGCATTTTAGTACACAGGATAGGGCCTACATCTCTTAGCCTACAGCTGTACATGGGTGGTTGGTTCTGCCTGCAGCTGTTGATATATGGAGAGGAGCTCGGTCGTGGAGCTGGAACGAACCCCGACAGGAAGATGACCTAAAGAACAAACAAAAGTAACATTTTTATTGAACTGCATCTGTAATTAAGTCAGTTCGATCTGATTTTAATTTTGATGACCGACAGGACAATACAGTAACATAGACTACTGTGATCATCGCGCGTTGACATACTCTTATTCGTCAACATTCACCATAAGATACCATGTGTTTATTTCCTATATATTCATTCCTATTAGGCTAAACCTTTGATTTTGATGTTTAAAAAATAGTCTATTACTATAGGCCGATGTATGTAAGTTTTTTTTTAATTTTTAATTTTTTTTTTAGAGTTTGAATAGTTGTTCTGTTAACGCATTCAAAAACGTTTATCTAATTGAAGTTATTGTTTGCATACAATGGTTGTTTATGCCATTCTTTTAGATGAGTGTAATATCAGTTGTACCAGGAGAGAAAAAAACCCGATCTACTAGAATGTGTGATCTCCAGCCATATGTGTTGTGCCCTTGAACTCTCCTATAACAGATTTTGACCTACCAGGTGTTATGACATTGATCTACCATGCGTTATGACCAGAGCCGGCGTTAGGAAAACGCGGGGCCTAGGGCCAACCATCCGCGCGGGGCCTTTCTATTATATATATATATATATATATATATATATATATATATATATATATATATATATATATATATATATATATATATATATATGTATATATGTATGTATAAAGGCCTATAATATAATGTGATGTACACATAATAACACAAATGTTTTGGAGTTTATAAGCTAATGCCAAACTTTCCACTATAATAACAGAATTTTATCTCTCCCATGTATTAACCCAATGTTCTTAGTTTTTTTTCCTTGCTAAGATATTAAATCAGTTTTGACATTTATGTAATTCATACCAAATCACTTAAGAAAATTTAATAATTAGGAAAATAAAGTTTACAATACAGCGAACTCGGCCTGATGTATCAAAACAGTATAGACTTCAAAATTTGTTAGGAATTCATACAATATTTTAAAACCAAAATCATTATTGTCTAATCTATTGTAAAGGATTTCCCTATAATTAAAAAATGGCTTAAGCACTCTACAAATGTCGTGTTTTAAAGTTCACCAAAGTATCAGATATAAATTGAAAGACCGCGTTTATTGGGGGAATACCAATGACTACTAAATCACTACCCTTCATTGCCTTCAAAGATTTCCCTTCCTCCATAAAAGTTGTGTGACGAGGACAATTTGCTGACTATATCATGTCAGCACCACTGGAAGACGATTGAATAAAACAATTTGGATGAATTCGCTAAATTAATCATTCTGTCTTGGAAAGGGTGAATCCTTAAGGTGACACAACATAACAACAGTTTTAACTTTCTTCCAAAAAATAATAATAAATCACCCTGTTTAATGCCCCCCTCCTGATATGGAATCCTAAGCCCCCCCCCACCCCCCTCGTCGCCCTCCTCCCACCCCTCTGCACGCAACTGAATGTTAATTTTGTTATACCAAGACAAGTAGGCCTACATATAGAGTTTCTTCCAGGCATTCTACCGCTTCCCCCCCCCCCCCGAAAATTTCAAGTGCCCCCCCCCCCCCGGAGAAAAAAGTCTGGAAGAAACACTGTACATATACGACATTATACGACATCTACAACAAGAAAGTCAGGACTAGAGTTCATCAGGTCACTAACTGTCTACTACAGACATCCCGTCTGCTCACTAAAAGGACGTCTTCATCGGTCCGCATACAATAGGGTATCTCTTTACGTCGTGGGCTAATTCTCGACCGCCATCTCCAGTCAGCTCAGGTCCAATGCCAGGCGACCGTACCCTACACAAAGGGGAGGTGTGACACTGTTTTTGTATCGAATTACGGCCTTTCCCAGTTCAGGTGGGACTCACCAACATCAAACGTGGCCTCAGTTATAACAATCAACAACGTCGGCATTCGACCATTTAGTTTTTCCCAATTGAATTCAGCAACAACTTTTTTAAGTTTACGAACTAATTCAGATAACAATGACATTGCTGAAGCGCGGGGCCCCTTCAAGCGCGGGGCCTATGGCCACCGCCCCGTTCGCCACCCCCTAACGCCGGCTCTGGTTATGACCTTGAACTCTCTTATAACAAGCATTGATCAACTAGGTGTTGTGACCTTGACTCTCTCATAAGAAACCATGACCTACCAGGTGTTGTGAACGGATGACAGGACCTCGATCCCTGCTATGGCCAAGGTTGGTGTTGTCGCAGAATGGAGCATGATGCCGAGGGAGCCGTTGTCTCTGTCGTACCTGACGTCCACACCTGTGATGGTGCCGATGTCGTTCTTGTAGACCACGTTGGTGGTGATGGTGGTGGTTTTAGTCAACTTCAGGTACCTGGAACAATATGTCGGAGGTGTAATAGAGTACGTATGAATGTCATTCATATTAGATGTTTAATAATAGTACATATCGAAGCAATTACATACACACTTGGAAACAATTCCCAATAATTCTTTTTGAAAAAAATACAACAAAAATATTTGCTTTGATTTAAAAAAAATAATTCTTGGAACAACCATAATATAATTTATAGGTAAAATATTACTTAGTTTGGAAACTGATTTATTTTTGCTCACTATAAAGAACGCTTAAGCGGATCAAACTTACTTGGCATTGGTCGGGATAAAATCTGTCTTCCCGGATGTGCCAATCAGAGACACATAAATTAACCCGGATGTATCAGCCGCGGAGGCGTATGGGAAAATTTTGACGTGGTAGTGGAATCCTGGCAAAAGACGGAAACTTTTCTAAAAGAAACTCTTGTACATTTTACTTAATACCAGTCGCTCATCTAGAAATCAGGCTAAGAAACTCTTGTTGAGATATACAAAGTCGACAGTAGTATAAGCAATACAACAAATTCAACTATATCTAATTATTGCGACTGTGAGGATAGTTACCACAGAATGGGGCTACATGGTGAGTGTCCACATATAGACTTCCTCTGGCGGGGTGCTGGTCGGCGGAGTACCCAGCCACACCACACCCAGACCCACAGGAGAAACATTCGCCATTTTCAAACTTTGCCTAAAAAGGTGGTTCTTAATGTAACTACACAGAAATTTAAAAGTATATTTCATACTGAATGCTAAATATATCACTCAACCACAAAACATTAGCAGTTCGTTTTTTTTTTACTTATCAATAATTCGAAAGTAGAATGCGATATTAATAAAATTACAAAGTTAAAAAGCGATACTTACGAAAGAATCGCAGGGGTGGGCTTTGAACTCACATGTTGAGTCTACGGATTCTGAGAAGTACTCATGTGCACGTCCGTGGCTGCAGGAGATAGACTGATCTAAGCAATATTACAATATTTAGAATTTTAGATCAATGCTTTCTGATTGTATGACGGACATTTTTACATTTTAACAATGTCTTAAAACTTTCAGCTATGCTATACACAGCCACATCTGCACAAAGACGCACTTATATAGGCCTATATACATTAGATTTTGGAATAAGAGAAAAACCCATAATTGACTTGGAAAAAATTAAAGACCCCAAACTCTTGCTACGAAGAAGCCATATAGTATATAGCATTAGCTACAGAGCACATTTAACACTACTGAAAATTAAATAGAAAATAATGTTGTCAGTTTTGTGTTTACATTTGTTCGTATGAAAATAGGTACTGTGTAAATACAAAAACAAAATCTGTGTTAATTTACTCACTTGATCCTGAGCAGCCTGGTTGGTGCTCACCACCGTTCAGGTAGAAATCTACGTCACCACAAGGTATCATCAGGCCGTAACCTCCAACAAAATCAAAATGGCGTCCGTCCGTGTGGATGACGTCAACAAACTTGGCGTCGTCTGCGTCTAGTCTGGCCGCCACTGCCTTGTTTAAAAAGTTGGGTTCTGCTGGGTCTAGTCCTGTTAAGTTAAAATAATTGTTTTTATAGTTGGGTTCTGTAGTGTCTAGACCTGTTAAGTTAAAATACTTGTTTTCATATCTGGGTTCTGCTGGTCTAGAGATTTTAATTTAAAATAGTTGTCTATATAGTTGGGTTCTACTGGTCTAGAGCTGTTAAGTGAAAATAGTTATTTATGTAGTTGGGTTTGCTGGGTCTAGACCTGTTAGTTTAAAATAATTGTTTATATAGTTGGGTTCTGCTGGGTCTGAACCTGACCATCACGTGGAGCCTCAAAACTCACCACTAATCCTGCCAATGACGTTGTGACCAAACAGATTCCCGACGTATCCAGACAGGTGGGCCCCCAGTGAGTGACCTATAAGGTGAACCTTGCCTAGGTCAAGGCCTTTAGAATGCATGATGTTCAGCAGAAGCTTGATCTCCGTGGCAACGACCCGGATGTTGGATGATGCCAGGTCGTAGAACGGTGCCGCTGCACCCTTGCCCCAGTCTACGGCGATGACGTTGAAATCCCCCTGACAATTGGACATTTACCGATTGTATTCATCATTCGATGTAAAATAAAAAACTACGGGAAGAAGGTAAGTTTGTTTTCGATAAAAAATCTAACTATGCTGTCAATGTTTCTGATACGAAACTTATTAAAAAATATGTTCCTAAGGTCTATGACCCACTTTGTTTAGCAGCTTGTCCTTTAGGCTCATGATCCATTGAGTGGTGCCTGACGAGCTGAAGCCGTGGACGATGAACTTGGTTCCCCGGCTGGCAGAGAAGTGGGAGCCGGTGACGGAAGCAGCGTTGGTGTAGATCAAAGAGTCCGGGTTTTGTCTGTTGTTCCTGGTATATAGGAGGAAGCGGGCGGCGATATCTGTGGGAGACTTGGGGAGCACGCTCACATAGGGCGCCAAGTTGTTGAAGCACCCCACGTGATCGTAGCAGACTTCGGCCTGGTGTGACAGGGCCGCGAGACTGGTACCTGTATGGGGTGTAGGGGGGGATAATTAATTTTAGAGTTCTGAAGTGCACACAATACTTCTAGCACTAAGCTGGCTATCATAATATATACTTGCTAGATATATTTATTGTACTTTCTTAATACATTTATTATCAACCCATATCTATTTCAAATACTCTTTACTTTGTTTTTTTCCCCACGAATCCCACCCCCCCCCCCCTATTTCCTTTGCTACAAATACCTGTTGCACAATTTGCGATCACGTATGTATTGCTACATACTTTCATCACTTGCCATTTACGCTTGCAAATATGTTCAACATGTACTTGCTACAAATAATTGCTATGCATTTTTGCAACGTGAACTTGCAACAAATATTTGCTATCCATTTTTACAGCATCATTCTTTACGCATAATTGCTAAAATATTTGCAACATAGAAATGTAAAAAATAATTACTATAATTACATTATTCAACGCGAACTTGTAACAAACACTTTCCATAAATATTTGATACAAATTCTTGCTATTAAAGGCCTTTTGTTTTGACATATATTTGTCATTTACCTTAACAGAACTCATAGCTTACACGTAATTTACAAATGTTATGAAAAAAAAATTAAACTAGAAAGAGGTATAAGTTTATAAGATATCAAGTTCATAAAACAGAACATCATTTTGAATGGTTTTCTAAAATATTAGCTTGTGATCCGAGTTTCTTACAGGCATCTCTACCGCCCCCCCCCCCCCCAAAGAAATCGAATTTATATAGAAAATATATACTTTTAACAGTGTCCGCATCTATGGAAATTTTAGTCCGCCCCCCCCCTCCCCCCGAAAATTTCATGCGCCCCTCCCCAGGAGAAAAAGTCTGAAACAAACACTGCTTGTAATGAATAATTTTTCTCCTACTTTTTGTAATGCTTTTTGAACAATACTTTTAAGTATACAAATAAACAGCAAATACAATTATTTTTTAAACATATTCAAAACAAAAATTTGAGCTGTTTTATTTGATAGAAAATACAGTGAGTTGTTTGAGATACTTCATTAATTATAGAAATAAATTAGTGTAATCCGACATGTTATACAAAATATAGGATCGTGACATTGAAGAGTTTGTACAGTAAATAGAAGGGACTTACCCAGTGCCAAAAGTAACAGCAACATTTCCACAGTGCACCGGAGTCTAAGCACCTGTTAGATAATTGATACAGCAAGTGTTAGCTCTTGGTTGGGTTCAACCTTCAGATCACCCAGTCCTTTAACACCTGCCTCACGTTTTGTTATAGTTAGACATTTTTAATTTACATCCACATTTTTTTAAAACCAAAATTAAAAAGATCTGAAGTCACGAATTGATTTAAAAATAAGTAGGAGATCTTTGACCTATTTATACTGAAAACACAAGTTAGCTAAAAAGTCTACACTATTTTCATAATTCGGATGTATTAAAGATCAAAAGCACTTTTGATGAAGTTGTATTCCTCATACATACTATTCAGGCATAATAATCTAGATTTCGCTTGCCACAGCAAAGAAAATGGTCTTCAGCAGCTAATACGCAATTAGGTATATATATATATATATATATATATATATATATATATATATATATATATATATATATATATATATATATATATATATATGTATATATATAAATGACCAAGTGCGCACGTCTCTCTCTCTCCCTCTCTCTATCTCTAAGTCAACAAAATATTTTCCGAGGCTATGAGATCAGTTTCTTCAGCAATATTTGGAAAACTTAATGATACAGAGTTTTGTGGAAATAATATGTTGGATGTATTAAATGATTAAATTAACCTTTATTTAAAGACGGAAAATAAAAATAAAGCCCTTTCGAATGTAGAAACACAACTTTAATTATGCAACCGGAGAAGTGTTTATGGTTGTGACAAGAACGCTCTAAAGAACATATTAATTTAAAAAACAATCACAGGCAAAATGACGTCACATGTAATGTATAGATAATACATACTGAAACTATTGTATAAACGCTCAGTGACCAAAATAAAATCTAATTTGTGTGAAAAAAAATAATGTAACGTATAGAAAAATTTCGTTTTATAATTATCATACAATGATCTGCTCCTATTTACTGACCTGTACTGTAATTGACCTGCTTTTTTCTGTTTTACTTTTGCTGATATGCACTTTATCTGTCCTGCCTTTCTCTTTTTTTTTTACTTTTTTTTTATTGACAAGAACTTATTTGTTTAACTGCACATGTGTTTGCTCCAAGAGAAGAGCCGCAGACAGAATTTCCTATTTATTACTGGATAAACGTATCCAGACGAATGTGTACACGAGCTACCTCTCCTCCACTTTGTATCGCTAAGATAACTTAGGCGTTATGGAGTAGGCGATGAGGCAAAGTGATGGGAGTACAGAACGATATCGATATCGCTAACATAGCTGACTTGATTAAACTGTTGTTCAAGGCATGAGTCGTAAAGTCACACCCTCGTCTAGAGCTCTTGTTTTAATGTGTCAGGCAAAACAATGTTCGACTTTTTCTGTGGGCTCTACGAATGTGTGTGTTGCATCTAGTTCACTATTATGGTTATTGGTTAACTCTCAAAGTTTCATTTGTATGAGATAGAAAATTCGTGAACTGCAAACCCAAACAGACGAAATTGAAATCCCAAATAGAGAAATTTGTAATCCCAAAAAGAGACAAATTTGTAAACTATAACTCCTGATGGACAAATTATGAACAATAACTCCAAACGGAAACATTTATGAACTTCAACACCAAATAGACTAATTTTTGAACCCTAACCCACAGTCCCTTTAGTATCATGCTACCCTCATTCTTATACAAACAAATGTGAACCAAATAACCAGACACACGAACATAAATAACACAACACAATGAGACATAAATTAAAATTCGCGATCTTTAATTAAACGTTGGTACACCGGGTAGGGCCTACATCTCTTAGCCAACAGCTGTACATGGCTGGTTGTTTCTGCCTGCAGCTGTTGATATATGGAGAGGAGCTCGGTCGCGGAGCTGGAACGAACCCCGACAGGAAGATGACCTAAACGAAAAAAAAGAGTTACATTTTACTTTGAAATCGTACGTTATTAAGTCAGATTTTTATATGATGACTGACAGGGCTTTACAGTTTCCTTATTGTGGTCATGGTTATAGTCAGTTAGATGTCTATTTAATAGTATATCGATATACAATAAGATATTTTTGCAATATTCAATAGTTTCAATCAGATTGAGGGAAACGTTTTGGTTTTGACGTTGAACAAAAAGAATGGACTGTTACTGTAGTTTGAGTTGTCTGAAAATATAGTTTTTGTTACTCTGTTGTTAGTATTAATAAGAGTTTGATGGCCATAAAAATGAATGATGTTACTGATTTTGTCGATGTCACGAAGGGTTGAAGTAGAAACATTTGTTGACCATAATATCAGTTGTATCAGTAAAATAAAAAAAAAAAACCCACTGATCTCACAGAGCTAATAGAAATTATATTGTTGTGACCTAGATCTCGGTTATAAATATCTTGATCTGTCAGTAGTTGTGACCTTGACCTCTCCTAAAAGAGCAATTAACCTACCCGGTGTTGTGACTTTGAACTCTTCTATACGACCCTTGACCAACAGGTCGTTGTGACCTTGAGCCCTCTCATAAGAAACCTTGACCTACCAGGTCTTGCAACCTTGAACTCTCCCATAAGAAACCTTGACCTCCCAGGTCTTGCAACCTTGAACTCTCCTATAAGAAATTTTGATCTACCAGGTGTTGTGACCGTGACCACTTCTATAAGAAACCTTGACCTACCAGGTGTTGCAACCTTGAACTCTCCAATAAGAAATGTTGAGCTACCAGGTATTGTGACCATGACCACTTCTATAAGACCCTTTGCTTTATAAGGTGTTATGACCATGAGCTCTCCTATAAGAAAATTTGACCTACCAGGTGTTGTGAACGGAGGACAGGATCTCAATCCCTGCTATGGTCAAGGTTGGTGTTGTCGCAGACGCGAGCATGATGCCGAGGGAGCCGTTGTCTTTGTCGTACCTGACGTCCACACCTGTGATGGTGCCGATGTCGTCCTTGTAGACCACGTTGGTGATGATGGTGGTTGTTTTGGTCAGCTTAAGGTACCTGCACATTCAAATAGCATGTGGCATACAATTCATATCAAAGTCATTAGATCAATAAATTACCACTCCTCTCCCTCATAATTTGATTAAAAAAAACAGAAACAACGTTAATTTGAAAATATATTAATTTAGACTAATTACAATTTTTTACATCATTAAGTCCGGCTTTGTCTGTTACTATTTTGATTTACGTATGATTTTTCAGCCTGTAAGTATAACACCAGAAAATGACATTAGACTTTATTACCTTCATGATCTACACTTTGTTTAGAAACGCATGCACGAGTTCCTAAAAACGTGCCTTCAAATTTACATTTTATTAAAATTTATTTGATTCTAATTTTAAAAAAGTGATGTCGGTTTATAATCACCAACATGCCTACTAGGTGCGATTCAGTTAACTGCTTTTGAAGTGCACAAACATTCTCGAACATTTAATCACATTCAGATGTTTAAGTAAAATATGCCTTTACATGAAAGAGATTTATTTAGCCAAAACACTTAGCTCTCATAGACCCGAGGTTTGTGCGGGTAGAGATACAGATTACACATACACCGGGATATTAATCAATCGAGCGTTTTGTGCAGAAGAAAATTCTGGCATTATGATCCAAGCCAGATTCTAAGCACAATGCAGGTGAAACCAGAAACCACGCATAACACTGAAGACACTTACTTGGCATTGGTCGGGATAAAATCTGTCTTCCCTGATGTGCCAATCAGAGACACATAAACTAACCCGGATGTGTCAGCGGATGAGGCATATGGGAAAATTTTGACGTGGTAGTGGAATCCTGGGGATATTGTGTACAGAAATCTGTCAATGCATTCTTGGACTTTTTACGAACTGCCATCAGCATTTGTTGACATGAATACAAAATCTAGATAAATTTAACGTTTTAAAAACAGTAAAAAAATATAAATTCATCCGTTTCTAATTATTGCGACTGTGAGGATAGTTACCACAGAATGGGGCTACATGGTGGGTGTCCACATACAGACTTCCTCTGGCGGGGTGCTGGTCGGCGGAGTACCCAGCCACTCCACACCCAGACCCACAAGAGAAACATTCACCATTTTCAAACTTTTCCTGAAATTGTTGTCATTATTTTGTCAAGAATACAAAAGTAGATGCATACAAAACAAATAACTTTTCATGTCTTTCTAATCAAAAGTTAAAAAGTTCAAATGAATAACAAATGCTACTAATTAGATAGATAAAATGCGATATAGTTATTAGAAAGTAAATAGCGATACTTACGAAAGAGTCGCAGGGGTGGGCTGTGAACTGACACGCCGAGTCTACGGATTCTGAAAAGTACTCATGTGCACGTCCGTGGCTGCAGGAGATAGACTGATCTAAACAATATTAAAATATTTTCAACTTTAGATCAATACTTTCTGTTTGTGATAAATTTTTATTTTAGAGAAAAGTTTTTAAGACACATTAAAGACCTTTTGTTAGTCTGTGGAAAGAAAAAGATCATCCAATTTAGAATTTACTTTAATTCGGCGCATTTTCCCACCCCTAGTTTTATCTTTTCTCATGACAACACTGTAACTCTAGCATCAACTACTGAACGCCTTTTACACTTAGCTAAAAATCTGTGTTCATTTACTCACTTGATCCTGAGCAGCCTGGTTGATGCTCACCACCGTTCAGGTAGAAATCTACATCTCCACAAGGAATCATCAGGCCGTAGCCTCCGGCATAATCAAAATGGCGTCCGTCCGTGTGGATGACGTCAACAAACTTGGCGTCGTCTGCGTCTAGTCTGGCCGCCACTGCCTTGTTTATAAAGTTGGGTTCTGCTGGGTCTAGACCTGATAAGTTAAAATAATTGTTTTCATAGTTGGGTTCTGCTGGGTCTAGACCTGTTAAGTTAAAATAATTGTTTATATAGTTTGGTTCTGTTGGGTCTAGACCTGTTAAGTTAAAATAATTGTTTTCATAGTTGGGTTCTGCTGGTCTAGAGATTTTAATTTAAAATAATTGTTTTCATAGTTGGGTTCTTCTGGGCCTAGACCTGATAAGTTAAAATAATTGTTTATATATTTGGGTTCTGCTGGGTCTGAACCTGTTAAGTTAAAATAATTATTTATATAGTTGGGTTTCGCTAGGTCTAAACCTTCTATATTATATTATATAATTATATATATATAATCAATCGAATGATCAAGTTGTATTACTTTATTCAAAAAGATACTTCTTTTAAATCTGAATTTTTTTGAAGCCTTACGTCTATAATGATTACAACATAAGCTTGTTATGTAAAGCCTTAGTTGATTCACAAAATAAAATACGTGTAAATATTTCAAACCATTTTAAAAAATGCTAAAAATAAATTTAAAACTTTATATTTTATTTTAAACTTTTTTTCCGTCAGCAGAAGAAAGCAAAATTTAAAAACTGGTTAACAATTCAGTTTAAACAAATCCTCCATCTTAATTTCTCTAATGCCAGCGTCTCTATCTATTTCAGCCTAACTTTAAACTTCACAATCTACATAAGCCTCAAAACTTACCACTAATCCTTCCAATGACGTTTTGACCAAGCATATTTCCGACGTACCCGGAAAGATGAGCACCCAGTGAATGACCTATCAGATGGACCTTGCCCAGGTCAAGGCCGTGAGAATGCATAATGTCTAGCAGAAGCTTGATCTCCGTGGCAACGACCCGGATGTTGGATGATGCCTGGTCGTAGAACGGTGCCGATGCACCCTTGCCCCAATCTACAGCGATTACGTTGAAATCCCCCTGACAATTGGACATTTACCGATTGTATTCATAATTCGATATAAATAAAATAAAATAAAAAAACCAAGGAAAGAAGATATTTTGTTTTCAATTGGATATTTTACTGTGCCTCATAATGTTTGCTGAAGACATGCATATACTAAAAAAAATTTGACTTGATCGCCAATGTGTAATATTTTTAGAGAGTAAATTTTTCTACTAAAATCTATATTTGATGATGTTTAAAACTCAATATTTAACATTTTCAAATTGAATTTTTATTTTACAAATTAAATTTTTTTTATTGACGTATTGTTCAAAATACATTGTTTAACTAAATGTATTACCCTCACAAAACTTTTAATTTTATTTGAAAAAGTATACTAAATACCTCCCTTGATAAATGACTTACAAAAAAAAAATATAGCAGAAAAAAATATTTTTTTTTAAATGTATGTTTTGATGTTGAAAAAAATACAACCATTCATGCTTTGATAAAGTGCAATGGGGTATTTCAAATACTAGCTTTATATTCTATGTTTACGTTTATGTTTTCACTTGCGTTATTGTTTGCTTATATATTTAAGTTTGTGTTTGCATTTGCGTTTGAGTTTGTGTCTGAGTTTGTGTTAACATTACATTTGCGTGCGTGTCTACGTTTGTGTTTGTATTTGCGTAAGTGTTTGCGTTTGTGTTTGCGTTACGTTTGTGTTTGTGTATGTGTTGGAGTTTGTGTTTTTGTTTGTATTTTAATTTTGGTCGTGCTTGGTTTTAGTTAGGGTTAAGTTTAAAGCTAGAGGTAGGTTCAGTGATATGTTTTATTTCTCAAACGTCCATATTTTCACATAGATATTTAATTGTAAAACAAAATAATTCGTGTAAGTATTTTTAACAAATTTATAATTAATATTAGCCTTATGAGTAATAACGTTTAAATAAATAACAATTCTCTATTTTAAGAAATAAAGAAAGTATTCTAAAATGACCCGTATAAGTTTGTGACTTAAACAATGCAAAGCAAATTAAACTAGCTATTACGTATATATAAATTCATAAAATATGTAACTCTAGAACTTGTCCCATACTTCTGATGGAGGTAAAAGGCATTTATTCCCAGGTATTTTATGAACATTTCGTTGCATAAAATGTAACTACACCTCTCTTGTTTCCTTGTCCAGCAGCTCGTTATTTCGACCTTTATTCAGAGACCTATTGAACAAGATGTCACAAAGGTCTATCCTAAGCTTGTCCTTTAGTTATATGACCCACCTTGTTTAGGAGCTTATCCTTCAGGTTCATGATCCACTGAGTGGTACCTGACGAGCTGAAGCCGTGGACGATGAACTTGGTTTCCCGGCTTGCAGAGAAATGAGAGCTGGTGATGGAACCAGCGTTGGTGTAAGTCAAAGAGTCCTGGTTTTGTCTGTTGTTTCTTGTAAACAGGAGGAAACGGGCGGCGATATCTGTGGGGGACTTGGGGAGCACGCTCATATAGGGCGCCGCGTTGTTGAAGCACCCCACGTGATCATAGCAGACTTCGGCCTGATGTGACAAAGCCGCAAGACTGGCACCTGTGAGGGGGGGGGGGGGGTGGAGGAATAATTAATGGCCTTCTGAAATTTAAATTCATTTACATAACACACATTACACTTAATACTACGCTTTAATGAATTACCTACTGAAATATATATTTCAATGTCTTGTTGCACAAATCTGCTACAATTATTTGCTACAGCATTTTTATGCATATACTTGCAACAGTTATTTAAAACTAATATACACCTACACACTTACTGAAATGTTTGCAACGTATTTATATTTCAGAGATTTGTGATATTAATTATTATTTCATACAGCGCCTTGTATTACGTGCGTCACTTAGCACGTAATCTTGCTAATTATTTGAAACATGTACTACAACAAATATATGTTCGAGATATTAGTAACATAAACTTGCTACAAATATATTTTAGATATATTAGGGCATTAACTTGGTACTAAAAATGATATCAAAGAATGACTTACATATTGCCAAAAGTAACAACATTTCAAAAGTACGTCCAAGTCTTTGAACCAGTGCTATAGTTTTAACTACTGGTCTGGTTCAACTTTCAGCTCACTTGTCCTTCTAAAACCTGACAAACGTTTTTTTATAGTTAGAAATTCTAAACTATCTCTTTCTGATTTATAAAAAAAAAAGCCCAAGGATTCTAAGATCCGAAGTCACGAATTAATTCAAAAATAAATCAGAGATCTTTGACCTATTAAACCATGTATGTAGCAAGTAAAAAATCCACGCCATTTTCATTCTTTGGATTAGATAAAATATTAAAGCACATCAGAAGATGTGTCGTATTTCTGATGTTAATTAATGTTAATTGATATACTAGCTATCTTGGCACATTTTTGTTACCACAAAAATGTAAATTGTCGTTTAGATAATATTCAGTTAGGAATTTATATATTGAACAATTCGTATACCTTCCTTAATATTTTTGCGTTGAAATTAAAAAATTTCATCTTTGATTAAAACTTTTTTTAAATTATTGAATTTACAATTTTAACTTTTATCCGAATCTTTCAACCCCTCTTTCCCTTACATAGAGAAAAAGAGATATTCTAAAATTATGCAACAGTACCACCCCTAACCAGTATTACAACCTTCTCGTATTGGAAATAACCTGGTACTACACTAAGAAAACAAAATATGTCACATACGCCCCCCGCCCCTCCCGTATTTACTCACAAATTGCCACATGAACTAAATCGATTTCTCCAGGTCAAGATCCTATGCGGTAAACTTTGACAGCTTAGTTCTTGTCTCATCTTATTTCCATAACATTACAATTAACATTTTAAGAAAAAACCTCCAGCACTTTGACGCTTACAACAGTACGAGAATCTGTGTCACAAGGAACTTTAAACCTACAATAAAATAAATCTGAACGTTTTGTTCTGAAATACTTTTGCCCGAATACTTTTTTCTCGACTGCTGTTTTCTGAAACACCCAAATAAACGTTTGTCCAAATGAGACACATATTGTGAAAGAAGAATCTGTAAATACTATTATCCAACACACAAATTTAAACAAACACAAATATTAAAACAAAACATGCTACTTAATTAGATGATTAATTTATTAATTTACTATTTGAACATTAATCCAGGTTTTAATTTTAAAGTATAAATTATTAAGTACACATTGTTTGCAGATCAGTTGATGCGCAATTCTCTTTTCTACGCGATTCTATTCTATTTACAAAATTTAAGTATTTAAAAATTGATTTTAAAAAATGTCTATATCCCGAATGCAATGGAGCTGCGATTCCCCTTAGTGTTTTATAAGAAAGTTTAGAGGAGATTACTCCCGATTTATTTTCACAACAATAAACAATGTTTAAGGAAATAATATATTTGTCGATATCTAACGACAATCCAAAGTTTTCCCGATGATAACTCCTATTTTGTGTGTGGCACTTAGTAGGTCGTTCTACGAACTCGGGAGTTATGATGGAGTTTGTATGTGCGTATTGTTTAATTCTGTTTTTTTTTTTACAAAAATGCTGGTATGTTTATTTAAAGAAATATGGCATCTGGTCAGTTATCAAGGTATTCCGGAGTTTTCCCCAAGGCAACACCATTTGTTGTGACCCCCCTGGGGTCGATGTACGACCTCAGGAAGTAACATAGTGTTTCTGGGTGGGAAATAGTCTTCGATATATACCTATTTTTGTAACCCCTACGGTTCGTTCTACGACCTCGGGAGGTATGATGGGATTTGTCCGGGTGGATTTTTAATTTCTTCTATACGAAGTATAGAGGAAGTAATGTAATCGTGCAAAAAATCCAAATCAAGATTTGCACAAATCTCAACGTTTTACACCTAACTCGGAAAAAATTGCTTTGCAATTTTGTCTGTATTTCGGTCTGTCTGTCTGTGAACACGATAACTGGAGTACCGTTTCAGTTTTGTTTACGAAATTTAATGAATAGATATAGCATAAAATTTGTAATTTTGTTTCAACTTTTGAATGATTTCCGGTATACGGAATAGGTACTTAACTTCCTGTTTTTGAAAAGTCAATAATTTGAGGACAGTTTAAGTTAGGCGAACGACATTTCACATAAAAAATACACATTTCATGTTCATGCTTCTTTCAAGTTTTTAATTATTTCCGTCAATCGGAAGTGTTATGATACTCTATTTCCGTGTGAAGACTATTATTCTTTTACTTGAATTACCTTCTGAAAACAGATTACTTCTACCGGACAGCTTTTATCAAAACTTTTCACGTAGGTCTAGACTCGAAGACAATGCATTGTGACCTTTAATTTGGTTGAATTAAATGATAAATTAACTTTAAAAATAACTTCCTCTCTATTATTCGCACTTTGTTAAAGTTCATTAAGTGCGCAATTTTTTTAAATACTCGATTTTATTCTATTAAAAAAATAAATAAAGCAGGAGTAATGTCCCATAAACTCTCTCGTATATTACAAATGTTTTAATATAGCCTACTCTTTATTTTTTGGACACAAACCACAATGAAAAATAGATGTAATAAAACAAATGGCTACAACAAATAATTCAATGAGCAGTAAAAGAAAAAATAACTTTTGCAATTTGCGGAGTTGCTAAAATAGGGCAATCGTTTTAAATGAAAAATATCATTAAGATACAATCCTTTGTCGTATAGTACGCTGTTCCATCACATTGTCTAATATTTAATAATATAGAACTGGGCACCAGACACTGACACAAGTTGAGATACAAGAGATGTACTTCTAGGATCAAGATAAAACAGTTGACACAGATGTGTAGCAGGGAACCAGTTGAAAGCAGTACAGCCGCCCGTGTAGTGTTTCTGTAAACATTGAGAGCCACACACCAGATGTCTGGACACGGTGAGGTCAAGTAGTGACGTCATATTGAGTCTCGTGTTTTGGTAAAGTTTAAAATTTCGTACTCGTGCTGTTACTATTGAGGCCATCACTTCCATCTCACACATATTAAGACCTTCATCATTGGCTCTGTGTATGTATATTAAAATTATATATTAGAAAATGAAAACTGATTTACTTTTATTTTAAAAACTTTGTATAATAGACTGACACACGAAACAACAAACTGACTTAATGAGGCGCAAGTAACGACCAAAAGTAGGTCTGGCACAGCTCCAGGTGTAGTTGCCTGTACCAACAGGTACTGTCTGGTTGTAACAAATGTCTCCAGAGTCTAAAGGGAAGGTCGGTGCTAGTCTGGGGTCTGTTTTAAACACGCCAATCTGGAAGTTGTATAGACGGATGGCTGTATTGTACCAGTCACCTCTGGAATTATATAATTAAACAGATTCAACAGGCTTTTGAATGTATGCAAGTTTATATGAAAACTTTTGTGTATACATGATGTGTCTATTGAGTGTGGATGTGTGGATGTGTATATTGCATTTTAGAATAAACATAAACTTACTGTAGTTCGACGTTTATTAATAGGTATCCTCACTAGAGATATGAAAAATGAAAGTTTGAGTTTGTTTCAAATACCACACACAATTTCTTCTACTGTCTCCTCGGAGTATTTGAGCTCATCATTTACATTCGCTTTTTATATCTTTAATATTTATTAAATTTTATCTGTATTTATAATTATTGCTGGTATTGTGTAAAATATGAAATAAAATAAGAAATAAAAGTTTTAAAATACATGTATATAAAATTATAGTACCTGTTGGTGAGAAATATTCCATGAATGATGTAATCGTCTATGAGATCCACCATCCACCAACTGTTGTTCTCATACAATGTGTGCATACAATTTCCACTGCTCATTTCGCCTCGCATCCTACCGTCGTTTCCTCTTTCCGCAGAATTGCCTTGATACACCGACGATTGAAAAGCTGGTTTGTAAAGAGCTGCGTTAAATAGTGTATCATCTGCTAAAGATGACAGTATATTGCACTGGGTATTTAAAAGGATAAGAATCGCAAACACATTTAAAGCGTGCATTGTGTTAATATGTATAGCTTTCTTACAGCAAGACTAGCTAAAAATGTACACTGGTTTGAACACGGAGTAAAGGACACAACATAATGATGTAAAATAGTTTTATGTTCAGGTTAACATTTATTGATTATCTGATAATTACTAAACCGTAACATCACGGTAAATTAAGATGGCAACAAAAGAGCCGAGTTCATTTCATTAGAGAAGTCAACCAGATAGAACACATTTATTGTATTACTCTACAGCAATATTGCATTGTTTCAAGCTTAGCGAGACGATACAATTTTTTTATGTCGTCACGACGCACAACAGAAGTTGAGGCGATTGTTACAATGTTACAATGTTCGTGTTATTGTATATTGGGGATTTTTGCAATTTACGTATTTTGATATAGAATAAAAACGCTTTATTTCACGTTTAAACGGCAGACATTTTTGTTTTAGAATTTCTTCGATTAAAATTTAGTGATTGTGTTTTGTCTAGAAATAGTTAATTCAAATTAAGTATTGCACGTATGAAGTTGCGCCCAGTTGTTGCAATACATATGCTCATAACATGTTTAGGAAAGCGATGATGAACTTGGATCCATCCCAAGAAGTTCAAAACAGTAAGAGCAAACAACATGTGTGTGACACGCTAACTTAAGTACCATTACAGCTAGGTTGATGAAATTTCGTATAAAAGTATTACATCAAATTTGTACATCTATTTCAGCTTTCCGGTTACGGTAAGTGGAATTTATTCTACTTTCGGTTTTTCAAACCCCTATAAGTTGAGTACTGGTTCAGATATATAAATGAAATAAATTGAGTACTGTTTCAAATATATAGATGAAATTTCATATCTAAGTAAAAGATATAATGTTCTGTTTTCTCTCAAATATGTAATTTTCAATGAGCGGAAGTTGTAGTTTACGCTATTTCCGATATATAAAAAAAGACTAAAATATAACGCTGCTGGCAGTGTGTCAGTCCTTCCTTCTCTCATTCCGTCATCGCTATTCATTCTTGAAACGTAAAAGTGAACATCAACACATGCCGCGATTTTACTTGAATCGCATGGGCATATTATAATATCTAAAGTATGGTCTATTTATATAACGACTAAATTTTTTTTATTGTTGGAAATGATTTTATTCTTTTGCATACGTCAACAAACGAACGTGAAGGAAATATTAAATACACGCATATTGTTAAACTTATTCAATGAATTTATTTCAAATAAAATTTTCGCTTACATGCCTTGAAAAATGGATTTGTTTAAAAAAAAAAAGTAGGGTCGAATAAAAGTAATCGATTAAAATGTTTAACGAAATGTTTAATAAGTATGCCAGGGTAGGTAATTTACAAAGAAATTCAACTCACGCTATTAAAGTAGTGGTATTTTTAAAAAATTAATACCGCATTTTATTAATATGTTAGAGCTCATGATTATAATAGATTGATATTAGATTATTTATATTATTTTCTGATTAGTCGGCCCAGAGGTTTATAGTTTTTTTTTATTTCTATGATCTCTTAAAATCTCTTTTTTGTGTTAATTAAAGGGATGGTTAAATTAGATAATGTAGGAACGGTTCTCTCTGAGCGCTGCCCTCCGGGAAAGGGTAATTTGATAAAGCGTTTGCTTTTGCGTTTGTGTTTGATATTGAGTTTGCGTATTTAAGTTGCGTTTGCGTGTGTTTGCGTTTGTGTTTTCTTTTGTGTTTGTATTTGTATTTGTGTTTGCGTTTGCGTGTTGCGTTTGTGTTTTCTTTTGTTTTAGCGTTTGTGTTTGCGTTTGCGTTGTGTTTGCGTTTTTGTTTTAGTTTGCGTTAGTTTTTTCTTTCGTGATTGTAATTATGTTTGAGTTTGCGTTTGTTTTTGTGTATTGCGATGTTTTTGTGTTTGTGTTTGTGTTTGCGTTTGCGTTCGTGTTTGTGTTTTTGTGTGATTTTGTTCTGTTCCCAAGTTGGTTCATTTAAAAAAAAGATTTACCCTAGCGAAGCACGGGTATGCAGGTAATGAATTTATAAAGTACTATGTTCTGCACAATTATACAGATATTGTTTGCCGTTCATATTGTGTGCAATTCTTTTTTTCAGCGAGATTCCATTCTATTTTAAAAAGTTGAAGTAGCCTGCTTAAAAATTGATTAAAATCATGTCTATATTCCGAGTTACCATCACTGTAGTGTTATATTATTGAATATTCGAGAAAGTTTAGGGGAGATCACTCCCGTTGTATTTGTTACTTTAATCTGAAATTAAACAACCCTTCCCCGTGCTGCCTGTATTTGTATAAAACAATCAGTGAAATGTTTACCAAATAAACAGACATAAGATAATAAACAACAACACAAGGAGACGAAAATGTAAAAAGAAATTATCTGTAATAAATTTTAGTACACAGGATAGGGCCTACATCTTTTAGCCTACAGCTGTACACGGGTGGTTGGTTCTGCCTGCAGCTGTTGATATATGGAGAGGAGCTCGGTCGTGGAGCTGGAACGAACCCCGACAGGATGATGACCTAAACGGCACAATATATTTACACTTTTATTGAACGGGAATCGTATACAAGAGAGTTGATTTCTAATCCTTACCTGATGTCCAAAAGGACAATTCAGTAAAATGTCGTAATAATTGTTTCGGTCAGTGTAGATAACTAGCTGACAAAAACTAATTCGTCAACACACAAATTGAGATCTGTGTACATCGAAATAAATTAAACTTCAGGGTATGGTATTTTTTATATTAATCCCAGTAGGCCATAATATTAGACGGGCGTAATTCAATATATTTTCAATTTTAAGAATTAATATTTTGTTATAAATAGGCAAACATAAAATCCTGATTGAACATACTTCCTCAATGGTTGGCGAAAACTGAATTACCAGGTGTTGTATACAAACAAAAGACCAACCATGATTTGTAACCTTGACCTCTGCTATAAGAAATAAATGACCTACTAGGTATTGTAACATTTACCTCACTTATAAGAACCCATGAACTATTAGGTTTGTAACATTGAAATGTCCTATAATAAACCTTGACCTACCCGGTGTTAAGACCTTGAACTCTCCTATAATAAACCTTTACCTACCAGGTGTTGTGAACGGATGACAGGATCTCGATCCCTGCTATGGCCAAGGTTGTTGTTGTCGCAGAGAGAAGCATGATGCCGAGGGAGCCGTTGTCTCTGTCGTACCTGACGTCCACACCTGTGATGGTGCCGATGTCGTTCTTGTAGACAACGTTGGTGGTGATGGTTGTGGTTTTAGTCAGCTTTAGGTACCTGCACATTTATGCTGCATGAGTTGTATAGTTCGTACCGAAATATTTACATCAAAATTTAAAACAAATTCAATAAACCCTCACTATTATGTAAAGAAAATTCAGATGAAAAATTTGCTAAATTTTTATACCTGAATGTTCAAATCTAGATAACGACATCAACCTTTATTACCTAAAAAAATACAATTGGCTTTAAAACTCCTAAACTGTTTAATTAGGGGTGCTGGTCGGCGGCGAACATTACATTTAAAAATAAATAAATAAATGAATAGGGATGAAGAAATGTGGTCGCCATTGAAAACTAACATATCTTATAAGTGCAATTTAACGTCTGTTAAGTAAAATAATGAACATTATGAAATCACCCATAACATTATGATAATCGGGTGAAATGAAAAATTACTAAAATATTTAATATTTATTTTAGCCACATGTCATTGTGTAGGACGAACGTTAGATTGATGTGTATTCATTCAGAAAACATGTCTGTGTCAGAAGAACGTTAGATGGATGTGTAAAGAAAACACATGTTTTGTGTGAGAGTAACATTACTTTATGTGTACGCATTTAGAAAAGACAGTAGTTTGATTCAGCCTCTGGCAACATTACTTAAACGTCAGATAGCAGCAAGACCATCTTCACACTTACAAACACAAACAACTCTGAAGGCACTTACTTGGCATTGGTTGGGATAAAATCTGTCTTCCCAGATGTGCCAATCAGAGACACATAAACTAACCCGGATGTGTCAGCCGAGGAGGCGTATGGGAAAATTTTGACGTGGTAGTGGAATCCTGGGAACAGAATGTACATTTTGTATAGGCTCATACAATAATCAGGCAATCAGTTGTTTATTGAAATAAATATACAATATTCTTTAGTTTACAGAAAAAAGCAGGTGGAGAGTACTATTAATTTTAAAAAGCAGTATAAGAGTCAACATTTAATTTTCAGATTAAATGACTTAACATATTATTACCACAGTATGGAGCTTCGTGGTGGGTGTCCACATACAGACTTCCTCTGGCGGGGTGCTGGTCGGCGGAGTACCCAGCCACACCACACCCAGACCCACAGGAAAAACATTCGCCATTTTCAAACTTTTCCTGAAAAAATTAGTCCAAATGTACAAACATCGAAAAGTAAGTTTCAGGTAAAATACTGTACATTGAAAACAAATATCAGTTTTTCTAATCATCACTTGGAAACATTCAAAATGCGATACGTTACCTAATTATATAGTTAAAATCCGATACTTACAAAAGAGTCGCATGGGTGGGCTGTGAACTGGCACGTTGAGTCGACGGATTCTATAAAGTACTGATGTGCTCGTCCGTGGCTGCACCACATGGACACATCTAAAACATAAAATGTAGGAACATTAGATCAATGCTTTCCATTAATTTTGTGAGAGGTGGAAAACACAAGCCACAGCTATGGAGGGTTTATCACTTAGATAGAAAATCTCTGTTCATTTACTCACTTGATCCTGAGCAGCCTGGTTGGTGCTCACCACCGTTCAGGTAGAAATCTACATCTCCACAAGGTATCATCAGGCCGTAGCCTCCAACAAAATCAAAATGGCGTCCATCTGTGTGGATGACGTCAACAAACTTGGCGTCGTCTGCGTCTAGTCTGGCCGCCACTGCCTTGTTTAAAAAGTTGGGTTCTGCTGGGTCTAGACCTGTTAAGTTAAAATAATTGTTTAGAAAGTTTAATGTTATGATTGTATTAAATTTAAGACTGAACGTAAAAGTATGTAGTCGCTTTAAGTTTATTGTGTGCAAGGAATAGTAATAATAATTAAATTGCTGGCCAGTTATTCTATTCAGATTATTCCCCATGTTCATCCCTACCCACCACCCCTTATCTCCACCCACCATCCTACAAGTCAACGCCTTATTTCAGCCTTTCTCTAACAAGTCCATCTATTTAAGCCCAGCCTCACAACTTACCACTAATCCTGCCAATGACGTTGTGACCAAACAGGTTCCCGACGTATCCAGACAGCTGGGCCCCCAGTGAGTGACCAATCAGGTGGACCTTATCCAGGTTAAGGCCTTTAGAATGCATGATGTCCAGCAGGAGCTTGATCTCCGTGGCAACGACCCGCAGGTTGGAGGATGCCTGGTCGTAGAACGGTGATGTTGCGCCCTTGCTCCAGTCTACAGCGATCACGTTAAAATCGCCCTGAAGATAAAGCATGCACAGTTACGATGGTTAACCTGCTGTTAGTAAAAAAAAATTAAATCCCTGTGATGTTTAAGTAAATGTAGCCTTGAAACTTTATTAAGAAATAGGTTAATTTTCGGTCTTTATGTCCGCTGATGATGCTTAGCAAAATTTGCATAGATTTAGTGAGATGTTGATTAAAATAAATAAATAGAAGAAAGAAATATAAATTTTACTTAAAGAACCATTTTCTTAATTTTTAGATACGATACTGGAGTGTCACATACTGCAATAACCATTGCTTTAGCACCTTCTTCAGAAGGGAGTTTAATAATAGAATGTAGCATTAAAAATTCAAATGTGTTTGATCTCTAATTTCATTTACATGAAAGTTATTGATGCGGCTTTGGTCAAATCCTTTTACCAGCAAGTCTTTTCTGTAATGATCCACCTTATTTATAACGCACTGGGCAAGTTGTCCATAAGTTTATTAACCCATCCTGTTTAAAAACTAGCAGAGGAAATTGTTTCTAATGCAATGACCCACCTTGTTTAACAGCTTGTTCCTTAGGTCAATGACCCATTGATTCGCAGTGGACGAGCCGAAGCCGTGGACGATGAACTTGGTTTCCCGACTGGTAGAGAAGTGAGAACCGGTGACGGAAGCAGCGTTGGTGTAGATCAGGGGTCTCCAAACTACGGCCCGCGGGCCGGATGCGGCCCGCGAGGTCCTTTCATCCGGCCCGCGGCGATCTTTTTGTCCATGGAATAAACGTTTGTTAGAGGCGGCTGAGGACCTTTGGACAGAAAATTCAAAGCAATTTGAAAATGTAGCTTTGGTTGCAAATACCATTGCCCGCCGTGTTGCAGACATTGGTGAAAACATCGTAACTCAAATAGCGGAAAATGCAAGCACGTTCAGCCATTTTTCAATCTGCAATGGATGAGTCGCTGGAATCTGCTCCACCTCTCAACTGCTTGTGTTCATGAGGTGAGGATGAAGACATAAATATAACACAAGAGCTGGCTTCCATACATAGAATGTATGGCACTGTTACCGGAGAGGATATCTGACCATAGATAGTTTAGAGACATGTTGAAAAATGCAAGCACATAATCGCAAGATTAACCATATTTCACAGCAGTATCACATTCAATGGCTGCGCCATCACTTCAGTAGGCGCGCAATGGTTTTTAGTCATGTAACTCTATTGTAAATAAAACATGTAAAGTACTGAAAAAAAAATTCATAAAAAAAAACGTTTTAATAACAAGCTTTTATGTAATAATGCACTAAAAAGTAGAAAATAAATTATAGACTACTATTTAAATTACTATAAAGAAAAGCGTGGGTCTCTTCTCAAATATTAGTAAAGGTATCCAATAGGTACTAAAGTGCTAAAGTGACCCACGCTTTTCTTTATAGTTATTTAAATAGTAGTCTATAATTTATTTTCTACTTTTTAGTGCATTATTACATAAAAGCTTGTTATTAAAACGTTTTTTTTAATGAATTTTTTTACCCCCTCCGCTTGTAGGCGTAGGCCTACTGTCATAAAAATTAACTAGGGCAACATGTATATTTATTTTTTGTTAAGCGCGACAACTCTTTTATACTGTCGACAGCATCATCCAAGCTTGGTTACTTCCCCTAAAGAGAGGATTATAATATCTGAATATGTGACTATGTGATGAGGGTATGTCATGCCACCCCCCCCCCCTCCCTACACGGACAATATAGAACACAATATTAAAATCAAATATGAAATAAATAATTTAATCACCGTCCACCCACACTAAGGTAAATGGATGGGGTGAGTGGTGTGTGTGGAGGAGGGAGGGGGGGGGTGACTATGAAGTAAAAACAATCGGTAAAATAAGCTTCCTCGTTAGAGGCATCTTATTTATTTAATAAAATAACATCAAGTTTCAAAGACTAGTTCTCTTTTTTCAATATTGTTTGAACGAATGGGAAAAAATTCTACCTTCCTTTTAAAACATATTAAAGAAATAATACATAAATTGAAACGCGCTGGAAGTTATGTGATGTTGTATTACATTTTTAAAACAAGTTACGAGAAAGATTTCAGAATTATACCCTATGTACTTCACAATGTCGATGGATGCTTTAGTGATACAGAACATAGTTTTAAAAAGTTCTAAGCTTGTTACCAAATATATACTGATATAAGTGTATGTTGTCTGGTGACTACAGTTAGATCGGTTGTGTGATGACGGAGTTTTGTGTGTACGTGAAAGTGCTACGTGTAAACAATGTGTAGTGAGCTTGTCTGACATTCATGTATGTTCGATGGGTGGGTGTAGGACAGTGTCTAGTGCAAGGTTAACAATTGCTGGTGTGTTTTGACATGTGGGTGGCTGAGCTAGTGTTCAGGGGACGAACAATGAGAGATGGGAAAAGGGAAACAACTGGTGACACGGACTATGGAGGGAGGGGGGTGTGAAGGAGAATAGATTAAACTTAACACGCATGTCAAAACCTATGACATGGTGTGTTCAACAGCTATTTTACTTTTTATTTTTGATATGGGAAATTTCTTAACGCGTGTTGGCTATTGAAAAGACTTCCCAAGATAAACTAGCTCAACTGTATCGCTTTGCTGTTTTTGGTAGAAATATTAAATTGTGTAAGTTGACTGGATTCTGTTGTTCATTCTGTGTGTGTAGATTCTGTGTGGGGAGCATGATTTGTTCGTGGGATCAGCAAGGACTGTTTATTTCTGGACATTGCTTCCATGTAATTAATAGGACCCATCACCAAAAAAACCAACAACAGAGGAAACACCAACAAGGCTCCATCAATAAAAGGCCCGATCAACGAGAGGAACAATAAGCTAGAGGACCCATCAGCTAGAGGCTCCATCAGCTAGATCAACAAGATGATCAAACACAATGAAAATCAGTAAGTGCGTAGCGGGCTTGTATATGTATACAGTAAACAAAAACAAAATATTATAAACAAACTACCACAAACCAACGAACATAAGTTACCACCATTAACTGACAACAGACCAACGAACAACAACTAACCCATTAACAGACAACCAACCAAACATAGACCACAAAATCACTTACTTTCAAATGACAAACAATTAGGACGTCATTATACCTCCCAGTCTACAAGTAGGACATCATTACACATTAAGCATGTAAGTAGGGCGTCATCACATATTCCAGTACATAATTAGGACGTCCCAGCATACAATTAAGATGTCATTACACCTCACAGCTTACCATTCGAACGTCATTAAACCCCCAAGCCTACAAGTAGAACGTCATTACACTTCCCAGCTTACAAATAGGACGTCATTACACATTTAGTATATAAGAAGGACGTCATTACAAATCCCAGCACACATGTAGGACGTCATTACATATTCAAGCATACAATTAGAACGACATTACACATTCCATCAAACCATAGGGACGTCATTGCACATTTTAGCATATAATTAGGACCTCATCACCCATTACAGCACACACGTAGGACGTCATTATACATTCCAGCATACAATTAAGACGTAATTACACCTCCAAGCTTACAAGTAGGACATCATTCCACACTCCAGCATAAATGTAAGTCAACCTTGCACCTCCCACCATACATTTAGCACGTCATTACACATTACAGCATACAATTAGCACGTCATTACACATTACAGCATACAATTAGCACGTCATTACACATTACAGCATACAATTAGCACGTCATTACACATTACAGCATACAATTAGCACGTCATTACACATTACAGCATACAATTAGCACGTCATTACACATTACAGCATACAACTAGCACGTCATTACACATTACAGCATACAATTAGGATGTCGTTTCACATCCCAGCATTAAATATGGATGTCATTATACATCTTAGCATACAATTAGGACGTCATTGTACATCTTAGCATACAAATAGATGTTTGGTTTTAAACATTCCAGCATTCAATTAGAAAGATGTTACACATCCTAGCATATAATTAGGACGTTATCAACATTCTACCATATAATTAGGACTTCATTACACCCCCCAGCTTATAAATAAGACGACATTACTTATTCCTTCATACAATTAGATCGCCATTACATATTCAAGCATACAATTAGGACGTCATCACACATTACAGCATACAACTAGGTCGTCATTATACATTTAATAATATAAATATGACGTCATTATACAATCACGCATACATATCGGATCATTAAACATTCTAGCATACAATTAGTACGTCATTACACATCCCAGCATAAAATAAGAACATCATTAATATTCCAGCATACAGTTAGGATGTCATTACATATTCGAGCATATAAATGGGACGTCATTACACCTTGCAGCATACAAGTAGGACGTCATTAATACCGCCTGCCCCCATGACCCCCTAAGACCTCACAAAACAGCTTTTCATATTTATGTATTTTAAATTGGATTTTTACTTTCTCGTATATACGAAGTATAGAGAAAGTATTGTAATCGTGCACAAAAATAACATGAAATTTTGACAGTTTTCACCGTTTTACTCCTCAGTCCTTCATCACATTCGAAGTATTGAGGACTTATTTTAATCGGGCAAAAATTATCAATCCAGATTTATCAAAATTAAGAGGTTTTATGCGTAATCCAGTCTGAAAAACTGGGCTTTGCAATTCTGTCCGTATGTCTGTGTGTCTGTCTGTCCGTGTGTAAACACGATAACTTGAGTACCGTTACAGCTAGGTTGATGAAATTTCATATATAAGTATTTTATCAAAATCGTAGATCCGCATCAACTTTTGTGCGATTTTCGATAACCGGAAGTGGTACTTTTTCTACTTTGAATTTTTCAAAAGCCGATAACTTGAGTACTATTTCCGATAGATAAATGAAATTTCACATGTAAGTAAAAGATCTAATTCTCTACCTTCTGTTAAATTTTGAGTAATTTCCATTGACCGGAAGTAGTAATTTACGCTACTTCCGATTTCTCAAAAAACGAATGTAAATTAGTACTAATAATATTGCGCACTATTGTGCACTTTTTTATTTGGCGTTCACTTGGTGTGCAATTCTTTTGTCTACGAGATTTTATTCTATTTTTAAAACTTTAAGTATTTAAAATGGATTAAGAATCATGTCTATAGCCCGAGTTCCCATCCCCTGTTGTTTTATATAAGAATATTCGAGAAAGATTAGGGGAGATCACTCCCGGTTTATTTTAAAAATGAAATTATCTTTCTATCAATTTGTCTTTGATTAGGATCAACATTGAGTAAGACAGATCTGCTTTTATTTCGACTTAAAATAAAACATGTTAAATTTTTATTTATTCAATTCTACATTTTCTTTTAAATGCGAGAGTGGAACATCACACTACTTGAACCATCTACCACTACTCATAACTGTTCGATCCCCACCCCCTCCCCTTTTCGCTAATCCCGCTAGGGCCGTAGCCTACTGTCATAAAATTAACAGGGGCAATAAAAATGTTTATTTTCTTTGTCAAGCGCGACAACTCTATTAATACTTTCAACAGCGTCATCCAAGCTTAGTTACTTCCTCTTAATAGAGGATAATATTTGAATATGTGTCATGCAACCCCCCCCCCCCCCACACACACACACCCCTCCACGGACAATATAGAACGCAATATTAAAATAAAATATGAAATATATAATTTAATCATCGTCCACCCACACTAAGGTAAATGGATGGGGCGAGTGGTGTGTGTGTGGGGAGGGGGGGGGGGGAGGGAGGGGTGACTGAGGTAAAAAAAACAACTGTAAAATAAGCTTTCTCATTAGAGGCATCTTATTTATCTAATAAAATACAAGTTTCAAAGACTAGTTATCTCTTTCTTTGCGAGTTGTTTAAGAAGCATGGGGGGTCACCATCATTTTAAAACATATCAAAGAAAAGAATACGTATAGAAACGCGTTGTATTTATGTGATGTAGTATTACATTTTTAAAACAAGTAACGAGAAAGATTTCCGAATTATACCCTAGGCAGGGGCGTTGTGATGGGGGTGCTGACCGCACTAGGTGACACCATTTTGTGGGGTGACACCAAGGAAAAAATTGGAAATCGTTCCAGTTAAATGAATGATTAATTAGAAATAAATAGTCTTCTTTAATACACAAATTAAATTGTGTAAAATTGTGTGGTTTCTGTGTGTGGATTGTGTTTTTAGATTATGATTTGTTCCTGGAATAAGCATGGACTTTATTTCTTAACATCTTCTCTATGTAATCACCAGGACCCAGCAAGAAAAAAAACCCAAAAACATGAGGAAACATTAACAAGGCTCCATTAATAAAAGACCGTTCAACTAGAGGAACCATTAGCTAGAGGACCCATCAGCTAGAGGACCCATCAGCTAGAGGACCCATCAGCTAGAGGACCCATCAGCTAAAGGACCCATCAGCTAAAGGACCCTTCCGCTAGAGGACCCATCAGCTAAAGGACCCTTCTTCTAGAGGACCCATCAACACGATGATCAGACACGACAAAAATCAGTAAGTGCGTAGCTTGCGTGTATATTTACACAGTAAACATAAACAACATATTACCATGCCAGATAAGCAGCGTTCAAGCAAACTGTCAGAGATGGGCCTCTCATATATGGACTTTACCTTCTCAGCCAGCACAAACTCTGACAGAAAGCAGCTGCTTTTACCTGTATGTGAAGGGGGTGTTTGCTTGAGAGCCATGGCTCTCTGCCAAAAGCACCAAGACTCAACTCCTGTGGGACAGTCATCGTGGTTGGGCACTTCGTCAGAGGAAGCTGCATGGTAGAAGCTCATGAAGATTTTTTTCCTCAGTTCTTCTACATCTGCACATTTACTGGCAACTGCCTTCTTATAATACCTCTGGAGAAGGTTCATCTTTGCCTGTAAATTGAGGAATATTTTTAAAAATTAAAATATGTTTACAAAATAAATTGTCACTGTAGCAAGGAACCTAAAATTGAAAATTCTGACAATATTTAAAAAGGGTACTAACTTGTGTAAGGCTTCCAGCTTTCCATCCACCTATCGTCCTGCCATGAGGCGTGGACATGAGGCGTGGAACATGAGGCGTGGAACATGAGGCGTGGAACATGAGGCGTGGAACATGAGGCGTGGAACATGAGGCGTGGAACATGAGGCGTGGAACATGAGGCGTGGAACATGAGGCGTGAAGAGCGTGGAACATGAGGCGTGGAACATGAGGCGTGGAACATGAGGCGTGGAACATGAGGCGTGGAACATGAGGCGTGGAACATGAGGCGTGGAACATGAGGCGTGGAACATGAGGCGTGGAACATGAGGCGTGGAACATGAGGCGTGGAACATGAGGCGTGGAACATGAGGCGTGGAACATGAGGCGTGGAACATGAGGCGTGGAACATGAGGCGTGGAACATGAGGCGTGGAACATGAGGCGTGGAACATGAGGCGTGGAACATGAGGCGTGGAACATGAGGCGTGGAACATGAGGCGTGGAACATGGGCGTGGAACATGAGGCGTGGAACATGAGGCGTGGAACATGAGGCGTGGAACATGAGGCGTGGAACATGAGGCGTGGAACATGAGGCGTGGAACATGAGGCGTGGAACATGAGGCGTGGAACATGAGGCGTGGAACATGAGGCGTGGAACATGAGGCGTGGAACATGAGGCGTGGAACATGAGGCGTGGAACATGAGGCGTGGAACATGAGGCGTGGAACATGAGGGCGTGGAACATGAGGCGTGGAACATGAGGCGTGGAACATGAGGCGTGGAACATGAGGCGTGGAACATGAGGCGTGGAACATGAGGCGTGGAACATGAGGCGTGGAAGGAACATGAGGCGTGGAACATGAGGCCGTGAACATGAGGCGGAACATGAGGCGTGGAACATGAGGCGTGGAACATGAGGCGTGGAACATGAGGCGTGGAACATGAGGCGTGGAACATGAGGCGTGGAACATGAGGCGTGGAAACATGAGGCGTGGAACATGAGGCGTGGAACATGAGGCGTGGAACATGAGGCGTGGAACATGAGGCGTGACCGAACATGAGGCGTGGAACATGAGGCGTGGAACATGAGGCGTGGAACATGAGGCGTGGAACATGAGGCGTGGAACATGAGGCGTGGAACATGAGGCGTGGAACATGAGGCGTGGAACATGAGGCGTGGAACATGAGGCGTGGAACATGAGGCGTGGAAACATGAGGCGTGGAACATGAGGCGTGGAACATGAGGCGTGGAACATGAGGGCGTGGAATGGAACATGAGGCGTGGAACATGAGGCGTGGAACATGAGGCGTGGAACATGAGGCGTGGAACATGAGCGTGGAACATGAAGGCGTGAAATGAGGCGTGGAAAATGAGAGCG